GTCAAGTTCAGTCGATACAACTCACAAGTCGACTTTGGACAATGTCAAACCAGTACGCGGCAATCAGGTCATTTGAAACAAAGTCCGGTGGTGCAGAGTATGCGGTTATGGACTGCGAGCAAGTTCTCATCAGCAGGTATACTGGCCTGGCGCGGTTATGCACTGTCTCTCACACATGTTACTGACAGCCATCACATGGCGTGGCGCACTACCCAAGAGGCACATATATACGGGACAAGTCTGACAGGTGAAAGGGAACATCTGTGACAGTGGAGAAACACTTCATGTACCCCGTGCTTGGCGTTGGTTCTACTCCGTACAATGCACTTCTTCTTGCTCGGCCTGCCCTGAGCCTTGCTTGTGCATTGCCGTGCGTCCTTCCCGGTCGACTCGGCGCAGTCGTCTCCGCACAACTTGTTGCCCTGTCCGGACTCTGGACGAACGTCCTGACGATACTAGTCCATTGCATTACCCGAGGAATCTGGCTCAAAAAACGCCATCCGCTCGGGCGAACACTCTGGAGCTTCAGGAGAAGTCTGCGGAGCCCCATGGGTCACTAGCATGTTTCCGGGGAACATTAAACATGCAACTTGGATGCGGAGAACCGGAAGGCTGCTCTAAAAGTCTCCCGCCACTGCCTTTCCTACACGCGACTCGAGATCGGTGCGTCGGGCAGGTCGGGGTAGTGTTGAACAAAGAACACCATGACGTTGTCAATCGCCGTCCGTGCAATAGTCTAAAAAACCACAATTGCTTGTCACCTCAAGGCGGGGTCGATCTGAATGCCACCTCTCAACCGCCGGCTCCGACACAATGGAAGCGAATTAGCTGCCTGTGCGTGGATGGAGAACTCCTTGTGTATCGTGACCTCGGCAGGGAAATGATCCATAAACAGGAGACCTGTGGAAGGCTGGTGGCACAGCCTCAACTAGATGACTACAGAGACAGCTGTGAGCCAGAATCGGCAGTGACAAGGGTTTAAAATGTCAAGTTTCTGGATCAAAAGAAACGTGTAAGTCAATCGCCTCAAGTGCTAGTTCAATAGTATAACGATGGTAACACATCACGTGAGACTAATATCGCTCGCTAGCATAATACCGCGCCAGCTGAAAGGGAAGTTAAAAAAAAAATTGTACTCCGTACTATCAAGACCCTCAATGTGAAGCAGGGAGATGATGTCTCAAGACAGTGTTACTGGATTTACTCACAGCATCAAATGACGGTTTCAACTCGCTTGCAGTCTACAGTTGCCGTCCGCATGTCCTTTTTGTCACCAAGAATCGGCCGCGTTGGCGAGCAGGTGAAAAGATCAGGGGCTCAGGCAGCCAAAGCCGATGGTGGCGTCTGGGGGGCGACACTCACATTGCCACACCAGCACACAATCCTCCATTTACCCGAAGAGGCGCAAGTGGCGCGTTCGATTTCGAGGAAGGATCTGGATCTGAGATTTTTCGAATCAGACAGTCTCACCTGGCCTGATGACCTCGTCGTCCGACCAGCATGCTCCCGCCAATGAACAAATCGTGGCGCATCAACATGCGACGGCTAGTCTTGACGATGTTTTGTTGGTGGACCCGATTGCGAGTGACGGAGTACAGTCTGTCGGTTCCTTTTTGTTGAGACGGAGGCGGGTGGCACTGTTGCCATAATCTGGTCTGGTCAGGTCTAGTCAAGACATTCTCCATCGACGTGGACAGCGCGCGCAAAACTATGCTGACATATGAAAAGGTCAGCCCAACCTGTGTGGGTGAAGCAAGCCAAGGTCCTTGTAGCAACCAGCTTCACAGCACTTCAACAAGACCGACCCGTCAAAGCTAACCGATGTTACGTCTAGTTCAACTTGGCCATGAGGACAGTCGCACATGAACAATCAAGCCACCACCGTTATGCTCCTACGATTAAGATTAAAAATTCATCCACTCCGAGACTAGAGTAACATTACGAACGGAACAAGCCACATCTTCGTCAGCCAGTTGTCCGTACGTTTACTTGCCAATGTCACACAGCATGCCAGTAAACCACAAAGCAGCAAGTATACGGAGCAATAAACTCACAGGAACCACAGGGACCCAGTCGCCAAAGAGCACAACCCCATATTCAGCAAGCATGCATACGCTAGCCGCGATAAAACTACTCTAGAGTGAAATTCAACCTTTCGCACAGACGCTTAGACGCTTGTCGTTTCATTCAGGGTAAAGTCGCAGGACAACCCCGAGCCCAACCACCCGGGCAGCAATCGTCGGAGCCCGGCAGTTCCAACCTCGGACGAATCCAGGAATCTATCAACACTTTTTTTCTGCATCTCACACCGAAAACGTGTGTACAGGAACCTGGAGTGACATTGACATTACCAACCTCTCTCCCCTCCGACCTGCGCTTCTCGACCCCCAGAGCAGACAGGGCTGCAGGAAACCACTCAAAACATGGCTTGGAACGAATGTTTTCTTTCCTAGGCAACCCGTTTCGGGTAAATGGATATCAATAACCATTTGCAAGGGCCGCCGTTCTGCCACTTTGAGATGAGGATGAACTTACAATGCCGCCTCCCCTCTTCTTGGTGACAAGGAAACGCCCCGCGGGAAAGACGGCACCAAGTGGGAACGTAGCCGCCAACCACCAACGATTCCGGATCCGTGGGATCCCAGAATCGCCCAATCGTCAACGAACGAGATGCAGACCAATTCTCACCACCCCTTGTCGTTACGGACCTGCTTGCCCTGATTCTCCAGCAGCCACGGGACAGGGGTGGGATGCAGAATGCATGCAACGCCGGTGCATTCTTTGAAGAAATGCTTGGTCAGCATAATAATACGGAGTCATGTCCACCGCAACTCTGCGACGGACACGAGCGTTAGATCCTTTGAGACTACACAGGTAGGTAGTATCACCGTTGGCTCACTACTTGCCCTGCAAGGGTATGGCAATTCTCTACAGAGTACGGAGTTGTAGGCCTTTCATACTTGGTGATGCATTCAGCCGTGGAGAAGGGCCACCAGAGCTCGGCCCGAGCTGAAATTATACCCCATGGAAATCTGGCAAAGCCACGTTCCCTGGGCTATCAGCCAGCCCGCCTGTCCCACCCCCAGCAATTCGTATTACGAACAAACCCACGGGGAGAGAAGACCCGGGCCCGGGGTAGAGGATATTATCCGCATCCTCAAAAGAAAAAGATGTGCACAAAGCACCCCTAGTTGCTCTTGTATCCCACTCGCCTGGCTCGCTGGTCCCTTGAGCAGTCCTCCAACCAACAAACCCCCTTGTTAATACGTACTAGTAAGCCTCCATCACATCATTGCTGCTTGTGGACGATGCCTGTCGCTTTGGCTATAACTCAACTCCGTGCTCCTTACCCCGTCGGATGTTACGCAGCTGATCCTCTCCACTGATATTGCCATTTTTTTTTTGAATCCCAACGTTCTTCATGGACCAATGACAGCCCGGTCCATCCTCTCCGCGGAGGAACAGGACTGAACTCCTTTTTCTGGATGCCGATCCTATTCACCGCCGTGGAGCTTTTTCATTTTGGATCTGCCAGACTTGATCAACAGCTAAACTTACAGGGGTTGGATTGTAATTTTACCTGAAACTATCAGGAGTCATGTGGGACATTGTACAGTCCCCCCCCTGAATTATTCTTCATGGACCAATGACAGCCCGGTCCATCCTCTCCGCGGAGGAACAGGACTGAACTCCTTTTTCTGGATGCCGATCCTATTCACCGCCGTGGAGCTTTTTCATTTTGGATCTGCCAGACTTGATCAAGTCTTGGTCAACCTAAGCCTCATGGATGGACATAATGCAGCCACATATTGTGCCCGCAACTAGTACAATACAGTCCCCCCCCTGAATTATTCTTCATGAGTGACCTGACAGGGTAGCTACGAGCAGAGGGTAGGGCACTATCTGTGATCTACATATTTTAAGTGGTAAGATGTTAAGAGAATTTACAGGGTTTTATTGACCCTTATAAAGAGACCTTAGCTTACTAAGAAATTTCAGGAAAATCTTAGGTATTTTAAGGTTCCACTCTCTTTTTATAAAAACCCTTTTTTATTGGTTATTAACCCCCCTGCCAGGTCACGCATGTAGAATAATTCAGGGGGGGGACTGTAGAGACATCGTTGCACTTCCCCAAAATATTCCATTGTCACTGCTACAGCATGTTACGGCTCCTGTGCTATGTATGCATTTGCCTCTATTTACTACATACATACTCTGTGTAAAGCCTGGAGTGCTCCTATCACTGCTCAAGCGAATATACGTAGCTGTACTAGTACTGGACGTTATGGCCTGATGATTCCACATTGACATGGGTGCTCCCAAAACTGCATAAGAGAATGTATGTATAATATCACACCAGAAACATAAAGTATTGTACTGTGCTTAGGCCTGTTGCGAATGTCTTGGTCTCACGCTGTACGGTGGAAAATATTCAGAAGAGACACCAAACTTATCTGTACAACAATATGAGCTCACCGGGCAACATAGTACAAACCAGAGACGATCCGGCTACCACAGTTGTATCGATGCCTAGTCACGGCGATACTGATGACTATACATGATCGGAAATGCCAGAAAAGTCCGCTTCTAAGGACATGGACTCTTAAAGCTCGGTCCAGTTCTGGCAACAGCATTTTGACGGATTGAATGCCTCTGCGTTTCCGGCCGCGACGTCTTCTAAGAAGGTAGCACGCCCAGATGGGCTGTTAGAGCATAAAATTGCCTACAACGCAGCACAGGCTCAACAAAAATGGCATTGCTATCAAGCAACTTCACCCGGACCGCAAGAACCAGACGGCAAGACCAGCCCAAGCTGTCGTACCTACGCGTGTGCTTTGTGCTCCTCACCACTCTTGCTCGGATTTTTCGCAACATGTCACGGCACACGATGCCACCGAGTCAACTTAGCCAGGCTGGTTTTGACGATATCCGCAATGCCGGGGAGTTCGCGGCCGCCGCTTGGGGCTTCCAAACAGTCCTAGAGTTCGTCACAAACCAACATGGCTGGCAAGCGTCAAGCAACAAATCACACCATGGGGAAAATTCAACATCAGATGCATTTCAACTTTTGCACGGACCGTGCCCTTTTCCTCGAGTGCCAAATGGCAGATGACTCGGCATTAATTCTTGCGCGACATGACCAGGGTTTGATTGACGCCCGTCAGATGACTCGTTTTCTAGGACAACCAGGTTACTCGATCAAGATGTTTTTGGGCTCTGTGGCTGATATGTCTATTGGAGAACTGGCACCGCTTACAGAAGAAGACGGCCAAGAGATTAATAATTGGAATTCAGACGAGCTTGAATCAAGTGACGCCTGCATCCACGACGTGATAGCTGGGAGGGCTGCTGACAGGCCCGGTTCAACGGTCGTCTTTGCCTGGGATGGCGAGTGGACTTATGCGGAGCTCAACAGCCTCTTCTCTCGCCTAGCAGCGCATATCCAATCTCTTGATCTAGGCCGAGAACAGGCCGTACCAGTATGCTTCGAGAAATCGAAATGGGTTGTCGTGGGAATACTCGCTGTGCTCAAAGCTGGTCTGGCCTTTACACTCATTGAGCCGTCATACCCCCCCGCTAGAATTGCGCAAATCTGCCAACAAACGTGGGCCAAAATTGCTCTGGTTTCCAAAGTCCAGTACAATACTCTCCACAATGTCGTACCTCAGTGCATCATAGTCGACGAGGAGCTTTCTCAGTCCTTGACAGGCCATGAAGTTCGCTTTATATCTGGCAATCGCAAAGCCCCAAAATTTAGCTTATATCATTCTCACTTCTGGCAGCACAGGAGAGCCAAAAGGCTGTATGATTGAGCATAGAGGATTTGCATCATGTTGCCTAAAGTATGGTCCGGAGCTCCGTATAAACAGCCAAACGCGGTCTCTTCAATGTGCTTCACGTGCGTTTGGTGCATGTCTAATAGAGATATTAGCTACACTAATGCAAGGAGGCTGCTGTATCTGCATTCCTTCCGAGGAAGATCGTGTGAACAACTACAGACTTTATGAATAATGCAGGCGGCGATGCCCCTTTGTTGGACGTTGCTGTAGAGCTTTGACCGTGTAACATTCATACAATAAATGTGGACGCCGGCCCCGTTATCCTACAACTTTGGTGAAGAAAACCCGGAGACAATTTGCTCATGTTTATGTAGTGATTGAAATGCCCTCACTCTCAACAAAGAAGGTTTGCACACGACGGAATTTTGACTGTATAAATGTCGAATATCCACCCCCAGCAACAATTATTGAAAATACAACAGCCATTTACGCAGCGGAATAGGTGGTTATTGGCTTGGGGGCTTCAATTGAACGATTTGATGATGTGGATGATGGATGCGAATCTCTGTTGAACGCACCGAAAACCCCGAAAGTTGACCTTTTTCATACTTGACCCTATTGGAGCCCCTGAAGACCCCTGACGAGATCCTCAATCCGTGCCCTAATTTGACCCCTAGAAAAAGCAACTATCATGACCAACAGCCTCTGAACATCACCACTTTCGCCCAACAAGTTCCGGTTTCAGTACTCGCAGGAACTATGATTAGCACAATTGGACATTATGCCCCGTTAATATTGCTGTTATTGCTGTTAATGTTTCTCGTTGTTATCGACGCCCATCTCCTCACTACTTTCACTGTTGTTGGATATATCGCAGCAATTTACACGGCAGTATTTGAAGGTATTGAGCCAATTGGGATGATGTTGAATATTCAAGGATGATTATGATGCCTCTTGAAGGCCTTGTAAATTTGACCCCTTTTATACCCGATCAGAGCCCCTGAAAACCCCTGCTAGGGCTTCCTTCAACCCGAGCCGTAGAAAAAGCAACCATCGTGACCAACCGGGCCTAAAAATGCCCCATTACTTCCAACACGGTTGATCAAGCAGTGTACAGGTGTGGATGTTGTTACAAACTAATACTTGCTACTACCCTACCTATCTCTCAAAGGATTGGCGATATCTAGAATAATAATCGAGTTGTAGAAAACTCGTTTGGAAAACTTACAGATTAATATATACACAGCATTTAGCTAAGTAGTTACTTAGCGTAAGGACTCCAGACTTGATGTAACTCTGCGTATCGCATCAAACAGCTCTCACGTTCCAGGGGCGACGTGGTGTTGTATCATGACGTCCTCCAGACAGGCAAGAAGATGAATAATAGCACGCCCAAGCTCGCAAACACGGCGCCGCCCACCAGGCTTTGGATGACGATCTTGTGCTGGAGGCGGCGCAAGTGAATATCCTTGACACGGACCTTGTTATCGAAAATCATGAGCCGGGAGAGGAAACCCAGGGGACCTGTCCGCCGCAGCCGGCCCGACTCGGCGTCGGCGAAACGCTCCCACGGAAGCGGCTGGCGGCGCGAGAAGAGCAGGAGAAAGAAGCAGCTACCACGCAACCCGGACAAGACGAGGCTCATGCCAAGCCATAACATGGGCCAGATTGCGAAAACAGTCCACGACGAGTGGAAGCCGCGAAAGGGCGTAAAGGCAAGCAGGAAGAAAGTCAAGAAGCCCGCAAGGATCAAGACTGTTCCCAGGCCGGTGGCAACGCAGACAGTCTCGAATGTGCCGTTGGCAATGCCGAGGCGGACAAAGTTTCGGTGCGAGCAGTGTTGAAGCAGCTGGTAAACGTGGTCGGCGACGGGGTGAAGGTTGGAGGGGTGAGAGGACGTCTGGATGGCGGCGAGGACTCGGGAGCGCATATTGCAAGGGATATTGAGCTCCTTGGGCGCTCCGGGAACGAGAAACGTGTGGGCGATGGCGAGGATTTGGTCCCGATATGTGTCCTCGGAGCTGCTGTGCTCAGGCAGCTTGTAGCCGCCAGACTCGCAAGACTCGGCGTCATCGAGACAGGCGAGCTTGCACTTGGTGCCGCTTGTGCAGGTTGTGCCGGCACCAAGGAGTCGCGCAATCTGGGAAACAAGGCGTTGGGCTGCATCGGGGTCGATTTCGACAGGTTGTGTCTTGGGAGGGGTGGACATTTGAAGCGTGCTGGCGTTTGATGATGCGTTGTCGGAGACTCCAAGGGAGTCCCTTTCCTCCTGAGAACTGACAACGTTGTAGCAACGCTGATAATCCTTATACCTGCGTGTGTAGTCTGATGAGATGGAGGGCTTCCTTGCGAGGTTGATGGGGTAGGACAGACCAGACGTAGAACTCAAGGTTCTCTTCGGAGAACTCTATGTGCTTCAGGTACATGTAAAAGTCGAAAAGGGACATGGGGCTACCTGGAGGATGTGTTTCGCATTAGAGGCGTGTTTTTTTTTTATCAATGGGTTGGTCCGATACGTACATGTCTTGTTGCCGAGCACTCTGTCGAGTCTGAGTTGGCTCGGTATCGCGCAGCCGTGTCTATTTGGGCTGTAATCCCGTTTTCCAGAGCTGATGGCATTGGAATACTCTTTGATGTTACGGTACTCTGGCTTCTTGTACCATGCCAACCAGGTGGGCCAATACATTGTCAGTCCCCAATTCCCGGTTGTCGATGTGCAGATGGCCGAGGAGAGGGGGTGTATGACGTCTAGTGGAAAGGACTATTGGGGAAACACGAGTAGTAAAATGTTATAATCGGAAAGAAGAGAAGAAAAAAACGAATGTGCCGGGTTGAGGGGGTGTCAGTGTGAGACTCTCCAGGTGTTGAATAGCAGCAGCACTTGAGATATTAGCAGCAGAGTTCGTCCCTCCACGTGTTTGTGGCACCTAGTCATGTTGAGAAATTGAAATTCGGCTAAATGCAGGGCATCTGCGCCAAGTCATGTGAATTAATTTGCCCTTCAACGGTGCCAAGACGAAGTCGACCAACAGTGTCGTCACTCGGCGGCGAAAGCAGTTATGGGGTTAGGGTCAAGGCGGGGTCTGCAATTTGTACGAGTCGCCAGAGAACATGGTCATGACTAAGTCACACTTGTCCTTGACGGCGTTATTGGACTCAATCGCTGTGCGGTACCAGACATGGGCAAACATACAATGGTGCCTAAACGCTACAGAGAGCCGTTTTGTCACCCCAGTGTTTATATACGCAGACCTGCTAGTTGTGAAGCCGTAAATCGGCCTGGTCTGGGCTGTGAGTGCCATCTACCAAGAGTTCAAGACCAGTTGACCTCCCATGTGGCCTGATTGCCCATGACTGGGTGGCCCCCCTCAAGATGATGAAGCAATCGCTCACTGACGCAAGCTTTCGTGTATTGATAACGGCTAGAATCTCATGTTTCCCACTCTGTTTCCGAGTCATAATATATTGCGAGTCATGAGGCAGGGACGAAACATCTACTGGGTTTACGCGTTTGTTTGGTTATGTGAACTTGCCTTGACTAAGTAAAATGCCGCGATGCAGCTGATGACGGCCATACGCACGTGCGCTAGACAGTACAAGGATTGATAGAGGTAGCGATGCCATACGTAGACGGATTTCAGCAACGAGACATGTATCAACTAGTTAGTGTGACGTACGAAGGACAATTTTTATCTTTGTTTCATGTATTCACTTCCAACAATTTGTTAACCCCAGCTGTAAACTAACTGGAATGTCGTGTTTTCCATCCTGAACTTCGTACTGGGTAGGTATAAGCGTAACCAACAGAACTAGCCTAGAAGAGATTTCCCACTGATATGCGAGATATCTCGCCCGGACCTCGTGTCTTTAATTGATACACTCGTTATTAAATGGCAATTATGCAAATTTCACTAGTGACATTGTTGCCTCCTAGATTCCCCAGGGCCTTACCCAAGAGAACGGCACGTGGTCAGCTATATGTCACCTCTTCATCACGCTTGCCTTCCTGAGAGACGTGGTCCTGGGATGTGCCATGGTAGCATCTTTATCTTTATCCACCTTTTGTTAGAATGAGGCAGCATTCATGAATCAGCCTCTAGCCAGTAAATTACCGCAGGTGCCCTTTCTCAGGTACACATGCTTTTGTACGGGACTTTTGTACGGGAGAAAATGGTATATATAGCAAAGAATTGCACACACTTGAACTGATCATTCATCCCGGAACCAAGCACTCAAATTAATCATTCATTGAATATCCGCATTCTGCCCCTCTTTCTATACAATCTTTTTTGACCTTATCCTGTGAAAATGCGTCTTGCTTTTCTGGTAGCCGCCTTGCCGCTCACTGGCGCAGTTCCTCGAGATCTGCCTGTCAAGCGTGCTGAGACTCCTGATCCTGGATGGGACGGACCACCTTATAACCCAACAGATGATGGGCCACCTTACAATCCAAAAGATGATGGGCCACCTTACAATCCAAAAGATGATGGGCCACCTTACAATCCAAAAGATGATGGGCCACCTTACAACCCAAAAGATGATGGCCCATGGCCAATATCCAGTGGTACTGAGGCTGAGGCTACACACGCCGAGTCCCTGGCTGCTCCAAATCAGACGGCCGCCTCTACTCCCCCAGCCACCAACAGCTTGAAAATAACCATCCTGGCGGACTCCAATCGCGACGGCAAGGTAGACATAGCGGGCGCCACCGACCTTGTGGGCAAAGAGACATGGACAGAAGAGTCCGGCGCGCTCTTTTTGGCCAATATTGTCGACACGGACCGTCGATGCTCATCCCAGATTACTGGGTCATGTGCAGACAGGCTTGGCGATATTTTCTTCCTTGGATTTCCGTTACCTGAAAGGCCAGTATTGGACCCGAAAATCACAGAGAATGAGCCAATCGACCAGTTTGACTGGAAGGATTGGTTCCATGGTCTAAGTGAAAGTGACAAGGCTGCGTATAATGAGTGGAAGAAGAAGATTAAGGAGTACGACGAGGCTTATCAGAAGGCGCGGGCTGGCAGTGTAGATGAGCGAATATCTACATGCCATGATTCTTCTGACGATAATCTACGCAACTCCACCTATCTTGCTCCTCTTCGAACCACGCCGAATCCTGGGCTAAGCGACTCAGCGACAGGTTCCATTTCCGTGGCCGACAAGACCGCCGCCTCCAACGTTCGTCTCTTCCATAAGACGGGTGGGCAATGGGTTTTTATCTCGTCAAACTATACCTTCAAGGCCGAGGATCTCAGGGCTGGTCTAGAACTTGGTATTGACGGTCGTGACGTCCGCCGTCCGGGAGGGTGGGATGGTAGAGCGACGATAGAGTTCAAGGTACAGGATGGGCACAAGGCGGCCAGGGATTCTGTAGTGCTTCGCGTCGCGCCTGTCTTGACGCAGCATCACGGCCAACGTCTCAAGCAACTGCTAACAGCAACTGGTGCGAGAAGAGACAACCAGCAGCGCTTCATCCAAGAGCTCGGACAAATTTCTAGCAAGGCGGGATTGAAAGCTCCTCTCCATGTGATCAATACCTCTCGATGCGAGGCAAATGAGATTTGGGCTCAAGACTTTTTTGAGCCCGGCTACATGAGCATACCTGGACCAAACGGCCCCGTCAGCATACATATCATGATACGAGCTGCTCAAGACTACCGCCGCGCCGGACGCAAGATCTTCCAAGACCTGAGGTCCAATACAGTAGGGGCTGTCCAGCACCTGGCGAAAGGTGGTACCACTGACTCGACAGGCAATCTGGAGACTGTACCTCCTTACAAACACAATAACAAGTCGTACCCTGCCGGACGGGCTGTGTTGGGCTGGGGGGACCTGAGGCCGTTCATGATGGACTTTTTGGACGCTCAGGAGACGCAAGCACCCATCACGCTCAACACCTCGTGGCTTGCCGTCCAGCATACGGACGAATTCATGCAGTTTCTTCCCGTTGAAAGTGAGCGCGGCTGGGTCATGATGGTGGACGATCCCCGTGCGGGCCTCGACCTACTCCAGAAGGCTCAGCAGGACGGCCATGGCAATGAATTGGCCATTTCCCGTCCCAAGTCGCCGACTGACCCCGACGAATGGCGCGTTGCCAATACCATAGACGAACTGCTAAATATCACCAATTTTGCCGGTTTCCAGGAGTCCTGCGCGGGCTATATTGAGGAAAATATCAATGTAATCAAGCGGGAAACAGGCATCTCCGATGCGGAAATCATTCGCATTCCTTCGCTCTATCAAGTTTACTACAGGAATAAGAGAGTTTGGCGGTATGCGAAGGATGACGGCAAACAACGCCGCCAGACCCACGATCTTGTCCACGCCCAGAAAAGCAGGGGGCTCGGGGAGCAACAGGGCCAACAGCCAGCGGAGGATTCCGAGGAGGATGATCTCATCGGAGGGTATGATGCTCTTGAAGCCGGCACACCGCCCCAAGAGTTGAATGACCAGCCAGCAAAAGCGACAGCGAAGAGCTTAAAGGGCCGTCAAGAACAGCGTCATGACCAGGCTGTAGCCCTCTACCCTGGCACTATTAATAGCGTTGTTCTGAACGAGAAGCAGATTCTCGCCCCAAACCCATGGGGACCGATGATTGAGGGCCAGGACGTGTTTGCCGCCGCAGTGAGAGCGGCCTACCAGAAGGCCAACTATACGGTTATCTATATGGATGACTGGTTCACGCATCACGAAAAGGTTGGCGAAGTTCACTGCGGCTCGAATGCCATTCGTGAACTTTCAGCTGTCAAGTGGTGGTAGACATGCAGCGCGCGGAACGAATCGGTCCATTCATGACGATGATGACGGGGAATTGCTGTTGATGGTTGTCTGATTGAGCTTCCGATTGTTTCCATCAATGTTTGGCCTGTTGAGATAGCGTATGGTACACTGGGCGTGGGTATCACGGTAAAACCTCGATACGACAAGTCTCGAGAGCTAATCTTGCGATAGTTGGTGGGCATCACAAACAGGTCCAACGAGTTCGGTCTAGCTGTTCTTAGTACATGAGTGGTGCTTGGCACGTGCGGTACCTAACTAGTTTGAAGAGAACACATGTCTGATGAAGCAATTTCTTACACTTCTTTACCTATTTTTGTGAGACTCTGAGGGTGACGCTATGAACACGAGCAACATGATATCGAAATGATCGAGGCTTGTCAGCTTCAAATCAGCATCCCTACATTTCGGGCGGTTGCACGCAGTAAGATTAACAAAGCTCTTAATAACATCCAGACGCTCGCGGCCAAAATGATCGTTCATTACCGCAGGGCGACAGTAGGAGAAAGCCCTTTCTTGAACAGACCGAGATTCATCACCGATGCATCGCGGGCACTGCGCTTGAGGCATCGGGTCGGGCGCAGGCGATTCCTCCTTTATATGGACATCTGTAAAATCCTCAGTTATAGTATCGACGTCTGACATATCAGTCTTGGACTTTTGAGTGAGTTTAATTATGCCTATTAATGTATTTTTTATTATTAAATTATGGACAAAAAAAAAGGGGGTGGAGGGGCGGCTAGATAAAGGGTATCTAGTAACACTATATTTGTATTTTTTTTTCGTCTTTTTTTTTGGAGTTTTTTTTTCATCGTGTAGCTTTATTCTCTATGGGTTAGTCCCTTAATTTATAATAATAATCGGTATGTACTCCTATATATAAATATTTTAATTCCTTATCATGTAAGAGGTGGAATTTACAGTTATCCTCACTATTATATTTGCATGCGACCCCTGGGCCATCATGTTTACCATCTTTTCATCCTCCGCCAGTCCTAAGATGTCTCTCATAGTATGATGCGGAGCCCAGTAATTTGGGAGCGGTTGGGATGAGCTTAGCATCTGGACTGAAATGGGCAAGCAGAATAAACGAAAGAATGGTGTTAAAAGCAATGAGCCATGCATGGCCCAAAGAGGGCTTAGAATAGTTGATACATGGCTGCCGTTACGTCCTACAAGGTAATCTGTGGGAGGAGAATGGAATTGGTTTGAGGAGATGGAGGCCATACATTGCTAAGTTGGCCCGTGATCTAGCATTCCGGCCTGCTCCACCCCATTTGAACTCTTAAGCATCACGGCAGTAGTGGTAAAAACAATTTGTGGCCCATCGGCTATACTCGTATGAAAGTACGGGAGGAGCTAAGCAACCAGGCCATAATACCTGGGCACCTGAACATCAGACTTGACCAGACTGGACCAGATTTGACCGCTTACATTTGTATGTCAGATGCTTCCTTTGTAACCGCCCCTGCTTGAAGCGGAAAGGAGCGTTAGTTCGGACCGAATGTCGATGCGGAAGATGTTGTTGGGGGGCCAGATGATTTTAGATATGCGGCGGGTCTCTAGGATTACAACAGTGCCAACGTCATGATATTATTGTATTTATTTCCGTCCTTTTCGTCTTCTGGTGCCTCGTTGGGCTGAGATGGGGCTACTACGCCCAAACTCAACGAGTCAATAATTATCTCCTAGACATTAACCGCATATTTGAGACTGTGTGCAGCCAGCGTCGCATTCTCCTCGAGCATCCTTCTTCCATGTATTCGCCCGTCGGGCGAGTGGGAGAAGCCCTGGCGTGCACAATATCCAACACGGCAAGGCATATGGCCAGCAGCGTAAAACAAGTCCAACTCGTACTGCGTCGTTGCTAAAACCATCCAATCTCACACATGGGCGCGAAACTCGACTCGCCAAGTCTGTTCACCAGGGGGCGAAATCTCTACTCCCAGGTCCTTATCCGGCATCTGAAACAACGTGGCGGCGCCCAGCCCAAAGGACTTTTCTGCCTTAATACAACTCCAACCCCCCTTCACCGGCCGAATGTTGGCTCGCAGGACAAGCATAGCCGCGAAGATTAGCAGTTGGCCTCCCGCAAAGTGTCTCCCGGCTGGAACAGTCGCCGGTGGTCTAACCTGATGCAATTCAGGCCCCAAAGTGCCGGTGCGAAATGTTGCACAGCGTTGGGTGCGAATACGAGGCTCCCCTTCTTGAGCAAGTATTGCGTCCAGGAACTGGTCCTACGGGACGCTGCGCATCATGTCGGTGCCGATGCCGCGGAGGCGAAAAATTTCCTGCACGGTAGACTGTAGGATTAGGCAGCAATACCTGACACAGGCTATATCGATCGTGTGGACGTGGTCGGCGTCGAGCCGCACTGCGCTTGCGAGATCGTCTCGGGGCTCTAGGAGGACGCCATGTTTGTAGTAAATGTGATAGATGAGCCAAAAGACACCCGGTATGCCATGTCAGCGGCATTGCGGACTCAGTCTTGTGCCTCAGCCGGCCAAGCAGAGCACCGGAGCCGCCGAGGCGGTAGGTTTTTTCTTCGAAGTAGCAGAGAAATCTCTGGGCAAGGAATTGACTGAATCACATACTCTGTCTGGCGGATATGCTGGGAAAGAAGCCGCTGCCCAAGACGCTCAGCCCTGCGGCAAATTTTCTACCCTCGCTTCAGTATCTGGCACATGACTCCGTACAGATACATTAATATAAAATACAGATAAGCCTTCACTTACTGCCACGCCTGCTCCACCAAGAGGCCTTGAAAAGGGTCGTCGCCGTCATCCAGGTAAGCGAAGTGTATAGATAGGGCGACCATACTCATTTCTTTCCCCCATAGCCTGAGTTCACGTAGCAGAGAATCTCCCGTAATTGTTGCGGACAGTACGCTGGGTGGACTACACGGGAAATTTACAGTGTGGGAGTGAAGAACTTGAACTTGAACTTGATCACTTGGTGACTGCAAATACTGGGCCAACATACGGCAGAGATCACGGAAAAGGGGAGACTCGTTGGAGTCTCGGGTTCTGCCCAGCAGAGCTCGCGCCGCGATATAAACTACTGTAAAAGGCAAGACGAGGCCAATATTGAAGCATATGAAATATCTCTAAATCACGATGACTCGCGACTCGTGACGATGGGCGGAGAAGCAACAAGGAGTATCTAAATCTGTAATCTACGAAAGGAGGCACCCTACTTGCATGTAGTTATGGATGTACAACCCAGACAAAATCACTGGGGCCCACGGGGAAGGCTCGCTTACCCGAACCATCGAGGCTGTGTCGTAGTCTCTACACATATGTAGTGAGATCCCAGAGCCCATCAAGGTGAGGCTACAGGGCTAGCCCTCGATGGGATGGGGGAGAGGTCCTGCGTGATAAGTCCCAATATGCGTAAGCCCTGGTTCTGTCAGGAGGTGTATGCATGCATATTTTGTGTCTTTATATTTATGCCTCTTTCGTGGAGCTCGGCACACTTGCGGCGTAAAATAGCAACAAGCTGTTGATTCGGGCCGCCACGGCAGCTCTTTTCCTTACTTGGCGAATGTTGAGCCACCACGGAAGGATAAGATGCTCGGCTTTTTATTCATCAATCAAGTAAAACATACAGAGGTGATTGAATTATGAATACGTCGTTTCTAATGGGTTTTTAGTGGTGGTAGAGGTACCGATGGGCAAAACCTGCTTCCTGGTCCCAGTCCCTGAAGGATACATTGTTGTGGCCTCGACTACTCCAAGCGGTACTTAAGCACCTCAATAGGCCGGGTTCCCTGGCCCCCAGCTTTTTCTGTTTAAAGCTTGATCTGGGAGACTAGGAAATGACAGCCCGATCGCTTCCGGTGACTGGGTCTGTGTTGCACTCCGCATTTGCTCACTGCATTCAAATGTCTCAAAGTTGAATGCACATCGGGTCGCACCACCGCCTATGCCAGTGGACCAAGGTGGTCCAGATGTTGGCAGGAAAACTCAAGTCAATGGTCCGTTCGGACGTGCTGTGCGGACCCGAACGTTATCACCGTAAGCAAAGTTAGAGGTGCCGCCTACCTCATGGGTACTCAAACAAGTCTTCAAGTAGAGTAACCCATACTCACTCTTCCATTAAAGGCCTTCAGAACCCGTGGCGTGTCGATATCATCACTGTCGTCGTTCAGCTTACGGGCCACGTCTTACGCTCTGCCTTCAGTTGTGGCCTAACCGTTGTAAGGCAAGAGGTCTCCTGTAAAATTTCGTTTATTCTTTCCAAGACGCTTTTTTCATTCCTGGGGCGAGATCTCGTTGTAAACTGTGGCTTATCAAGCCGCTAAGCAAACTATTGAAGATTGAAGGGCCAGGGTATACAAGCCAACAACAAAGATGCTTCAAGAGTCATGTGTATTGTAGCGCTATCGTAGTCATCTTATCATATGCAAGCGAACTCTCGGTTGTCTATATAGAAACCAAACGGCAGGAATATTTCACTACCCAGGTTGAATGGTCCAGTTCCAATACACCTCATACCCCAAAAATATATATTCGGATGCTCCATGTATCAAACGAGCCTGTACATTGCAACGCTATGTAACGGCATCCCTAGGCAGGCTAGAACATGGTTCCATCATAAGAAACCGATGGCTGACGTAGGTTTCACCACTTGAAAGGAGGAAGCCTGCAGATGATCTGACGGAACGGTAGAACAAGATGCAATTCCTTGAACATCTTGGCAATATCAGCAACTAATCCATGTGCTAACGCAACACCGGCCACGTCCATAGGCCAAGGTGGAATAAAGCAAGGTCTCTCCGACATCTTGGCTTCGGGTTCGCCTTATTCCATCTCTCTCGCCTCTACAAAGCTCTACACGTGCCACACGAGTGACGAGGACTCCGTATACGGGAATAAGTTCACGTCTTCTAGAAATAAAGCATTCAAGATATCAAGCTATTTCCTATTCCCCGCGAAGCCGCAGCAGGCGCCAATGGGTTCCAACGCAAGCGATGCCTCTGCTGGAGCCGACATCTCGACCACTCCATTCTTGCGGTCTACCCCCCGAGTCGCGCCAAAAGTTATCAATCCTGTCTCTAGCGGCCCAATGGTTCGGGCGGGAATATTTTCAATAGTACCGATTATGGTCGTGTTTGTAGGATTTCGTATCTACGCCCGGGTGCGTTTGACACCGTCGGTCGGCGTTGACGATTGTACGTGGTGATGTCTCTTGAGCTTCACAAATACTTGCAAACTGACATTTTTCTAGATCTCTGCCTTTTATCTGCTGTAAGTGCCGCCGAAACCTACGGTGAATATTCTCTTCATATTAACCCTCTGCCTCAGGTAACCATCATCATATTTTCAGGGCTTGCATTATCTTGTACGTCTTCAAAAATTGATCAATCCTCCACCTATTCAGTATCTCACCTGACTACGCAGTCTTGGATAACCCAGAAGGCAGACATGGCTGGGAACTTCCCCTGGAGAAGCTCTTAATAACCACTACCGGGCAGAGGTAGGGTCAGGGTATATGCTATTTATCTGGAGCGTCCACTGATACACCATGACTGCAGGCAACCTTCGCTACACTTCTGATGTACACCTTTAGCAACATGTTTACTAAGCTGACTCTTCTCACGCTCTATCACCGGATATTCAGGCGTGCTTTCTGGTCGCTCAGGGCTATTTGACTAGGCATGATAACTGTGGTTCTGTTTAACCTCGCTGCTTTCGCCGGATACCTCGGCCTCTGCGCTCGTTTTGGCAAGCCGATTTGGGCAACAATGCTAGAGTTCCAGTGCGCTGGCAGTATCTTGTCAATCTTCAAGGCTCAGGGATGGTATGGCCTTATTTCAGATGTTTATATTTTAGCGATACCGTTGTGGCTTGTGTGGGACCTCAACTTGCCTCTAAAGCGCAAAGCCGCTGTGTTGGGTGTCTTCTCGACAGGGCTGGCGTAAGTTTTATGTTCTCGTTCTATTGTAGATTATGCTACGTTTACCTCTTAGGTCATACTAATGAAGGATCGCAGGGCATGTGCCATTTCCGCTGCGTCCTTGGCCCAGCGACAGAAACTCGTCGGTCACGACGCGAATAGGACGTGGGAAAACTATCTCTATGCGTACGAGCTCCATGATAGCTTGAGCAGTTCTTGTTCTTACCCTAAGCAACATATACACTAATGCGAACTTTTCACAGAACTCTCGAGCTTAGCATTGGCCTCATTTGCAGCTGCATGCCGGTCATGCCGGCGGTACTAAAAGAATTAATGGCAAATTTGGCCACGAGGTAAGCACTATCTAATTCCTAGCGCTTGCCCTGGGCTTGTGTCTAGTTACTTAGATACCAAGACTCTATCGCGATCTGCATTATAATTCTCTAGGACAAGTGCAAACTAACTATGGTGTCCATCTAGCGGGAAGTCTATTCTGAGATACGGCGCTCAGTTGCTCTTGCGAAACCCTAAGCAGGACTTAAGTCCCCTGGCCTTATCCGAGCCTATAGTCAGGGAGCAGTTACCCAAGGTTCCTAGTGGGGATATATCAGGGCTGCGAACGTACATCCGAAGGATGTATCGCTCTACCAATCGAAGCACGGGTAGCGCCACGAGGCTAGAGACCTTTAATATAAGCAACACTATAGATGCTGATTATCATGAGCAGCTAACACAAATACGTGCAGGATACTAAGATTCGGTGGCCTACTGTAAGATAGAACACGTATAAAGAGTACAGGTAATAACAGCTAGGTAGTAGGGAAAGGCAGGTATAGATTTATTTGAAGACTAAAGCTTGCTTTAACATTGAGGTATGTGAGAGGCCGTTGATATACTAATCATTCTGTCATAGGCGTGGGGTGCGGTGTCACGACAACACGCTTAGAGACGGCATGAGTCAAGCCATCACTTGACGGGACTCAGGGGGTCAGTGGTTTTACTACCTGTAAGACTAGATCTGGCTAGTAACTTATAAGTTAAAATAAAAAATAGCCTGTCGAATATAAAATTCCAAAATACATAGATCGCGGTTATTATCACACGGCCAAGTCCTGGACAAAGGTATCGGATATCAAAGGTTACACAACAACAAAGAAAGGTATCACGAGAGCCCGGAGTCGGAACTTGGCAAGGGATGCCTCAGGCCGCTAGAGCTCACCGACTTCTTGTATATATAGAGATCTTTAGTCCACTAAGCTAAGGACCTTTGACACCTCAAGTTCGATTATTAAATCAGAATTGAACCTCATGTTCCAAGCCCAGTCAACATGCCCTCGTCACAGTTATAGGTTGCTAGCCAAGGCCACAAACTACCACAGTCGACGTTCGGGATATTAGACCACAACCACCACTGAACACGCCGTCGAGCACTAAACAAGTTGTTTTCCAAGTCTAGGATATTGAAAATCGAGGACTTCATTCATGAAACGTCTCAACACTTATGTGACAAGTTTCTTTTTCTGGCATATCATGACTAGGGCCATTTAACCTTACGGGAGCTTTCGCCTGTATTACGACAGACACCGTTGCCGAGTATTGCTTTGTGTCTAACCCTGGTTTCCTTGATCAAGATGACTGGGATCCAAATTGTCGGAGTTCTTTTGAAACCATTGAGAGAATAGCACATGTCACAAGGCACGTACCCTAAGCACTACATCTGGCAAAGTGGCTACTACTATAAGCATAGCATAGGACTGGCTCTTCAACCAGCTAACTCAAAAAGGTCCACAATTCCTCGTGGCTGTACAATCATCACGTTAGGCCTGCCGTTCATCCAGACGAGTCCGAATGCATCGCAATTTAATGCTAAGAAGCGTCTTGGCCACAGAAGGCAGAGGAATATGGAGTTAGAAGTTGACTTATCTTGCTTTCCGGGATAAGCCATTATCGTTTAGGCATGCAGTAAGTCTGCTACATTTTTCGCTCTCTGTATAAGAGTTTTATACCGACTATCCGGGGACTCTTTGCGACTTAACGTACTGCTCTACTTAAGTGTAGCTGCTCTTGCACTATCGTGCCTTTGCCTTTGCAAGTGTACGAAATGAGACACTTGGATATCCATTCCCGTTAAGACAGCTCAAGAGGAATTAAAAAAGCTAGGGTTAAGCTATACAATTACAAGTTATTGGCGCATGATTTATAGTTGCATCCAAGGAAATGTTAAGCAGGATCTAGTAAAGCACTTGCATATGGTTAATACACTGTCGAGCCTGTTGTTTCAGCGCTAAAGCTACCATGTTTGGAAACAATCCGATATGAGAAGCGGATCGGGACCTGAAATCTTTTTCGGGTTTCCTAAAAAAGACCCGGGTTCCTTTAACTTGTATGTCTATCAACAGAATTACATGATTACATTATATTAACCCTAGTTAGCTCGCAATCCCCTTGCTCTCAAATACTCGCAATCAACCATCGCTCCTCGGACTAGCTTCTCAATGTGCTCAGCCAAATCGATCCCCAAACCCAGACCGCCACTTGCCAGCCTCATCATTAATACTAATCCTAAAAGCAATTTCACTTGCATTAATTCTTATTAACTAGTATAGACTTATTCGCGTTGCTAGCTAATTAGACTTTATCTTGAATAGCTCTTTTAACTTTACTTGGTTCCGTAGACCCATGCCTATTTTTCGCAATACAGAACTACAGTGGCAGGATGAGCTATAATATCATTAGCATCTAGTATAATAAGCCACTCTAGACTCTGATCTGGCGGACAGGGAAACGACTCTCGGTTCTGCACATGGAAGTTATAAAGAGATCGAGTCCATTCCACAGTTATCAAGAATTAAGCAAAGTTATTTGCAGCTGCTGAGACTTTGCCCTCTCTCTTGATGACTGTGCGGTATAGGGTTGGAAACGCTAGCGCAGGATGGCGAATAAACAACGTGGGCCGCTATGTAAGGAGAAACTCGTCCGGTAGCACCGCGATGTTTAGCCTGGAGTGAGTTAAGTCACCAGCGTACTCGACCGTCTAGGTTAGCTTGCCTGTATCGCTGGGGCCGAATTGCAAACGACTGCGTGCTGTCGGGTCGGCAAAGAAGACTGTTTGCTCTTTCACAAAGACTGACCAACCTTGCGACTCTGTAGATTCGAGCCATGGCTGCTGTGCTTCAAAGCATGCCTGGAAGGTGTTGAGCAAATGGTTTAGAGAACTTATAAAGATTACATAATACCAGAATCTAGCACATATCCTAATCACTCTTACAATCCAGACTATTCATTGTAAGAATGCCCAGACATTGATGAAAGGAGCACGCGAGATCACAAGGATTCTAGCATAACAGGAGCTAGGTGGGCCTCTGGAACTGCATTCACACTGTTCACGTCACGACGGTTATATAGTATCGTTGCCTCCAGGCACTTAGCGCTGTCTGCTCCGAGGAGAAGGCCAAACATGCGCATCACGAGACTATTCCACCCGCGCAGGTAGCGGTATAATTATAGCTCTTGACTTAAATGACATACTTGGTCTCGACATATTGACAGGGGCCATCATGACGGTTATAGGGTTAACCGTTCAGTGATGGGGCAAGGGGATCCGGCGATAGCGGACCCTTGGCCGAATACCCCGATATCCAGCGTGCAAATTTGCCCTTTCGGCCCTCTCTCTCTCCTCACTATGGCCTCTGACAGGGGCCAAGCACAAAGCTGAATGCCGTGGAGCGACGTAAATGACCAAAAGTGCCGGAGAGCATACGATTTGTCCCTGGGGTATATCAAAACAAATTACACCTGGGGTCGCTCGGCGGAGGCGGGGAAACACGGCATTGCCTCGATGGGCACCGGAGACCGGACCAAAAGCTGAGATAGCAGCGCATCTAGATTGGGATAGCGCAAGGAAAGATGTTATTAAAGGTAATAATACCGCTCAAGAAAAATTCGGTTCGCGGCAGAGCTGTCTGGTGTCTTGGCGGGCTAGGCCTCAAAGCCGCCTAGTCTTTTTCCGAGGGGCTCATAATGGTCGGCTGGATACCGGTACAAGATGGCAGCGCGAGATAACGAGAGACTGACAGACCCAGTATGACGCGCAGGCATTGCTCAGCAACGGTGGCAGAGCATGTCCTGGAAAACCAAAACCATTAAATTCAATGTTTGGCCCTGCAGGAATTATGAAAACCTAATGCAAGATTAGTGCGGCCGGTTGCTCACGCAAATGCGAGACGCCATACCTAAACTAGCAAAGGGGTGCGGATTCCCCCAATCAGACCAGCTGACAAGATGCGACCCCCGGTTTAGAGTTTGGGACGGGTCCGCCTCTATCCCCTATTCGTCGCGCTAGAAACAATGCGCCACCCGGCACTTGTCGCGATACTTGACAGCGTTGGGGTCGAGTTGTCAGTGAACCGGTGCCCATCAACTGATTGACTGCCCAGTTGGTCCAAGTTTTGAGCCAAGCACCCTTGCCATGTCCCACTCGACTGAGCCCTCAAGGTAGCACAACAGTACTCCGTACGCAAACCCGAGAAAGTACATTCGTAGTCAAGTGGCACGCACGGTTACTCCGCATGAAGACCTGGATTTCACTGCCACTTCGGTGTGCTCCATGGTGTCGGGAACTGGCACCGCATCTATGAAGTGTAGTCTAAACGAATAATTTCTCGGATGATGCCATGTACACCCTCGACGCAGGATACATATAACTACTGCGCAGCACGTATTGCATATAATCCACACTTTGAACGCCTTCAAATTCCCCCTTGGCAGGCCTGCCACTGACCATGATGGATGGCTCATCCACTGACAGATGTGCTCTTTTCCAATCAGGAGTTCCGCCGCTAGAGAATGCTGAGCTTTCTGTAAGTCAAATCCGCCTGGTCCTTGTATTAACCGCTTCAACCAACCACCATCTGTTCATCACCACACTTGAATCATAGCTTGTCGCCTAATGATTACTTTAAGGAGGACCACACGTGGAATTTACAAGCAAGTCATCCCCAACATGTGCCGTGGAGCCTACCGCCGACCTATCAAACGCCGCCGTTCCTTAAAGGCAGGAACTCAGAATGCGCTTCTTGCCCCGACAATATGATATATCCTGCCATGTACTCCGGTATATCCGGGTCTCTCATGGCAGACCATTATTCCATAAAGTGGATTAACTCTCCCAGAGGCGACCCGGACGATTCAGCTTTTGCTGAAAACCTCTGCCTAGAGTCCGGCCTGTCCTTTGACCCGCGAAGCCACCTTGTGGAGTTGGACAACGTGTTCGACACGCGCTTGGCAGGGGAATCGGCCGGGCTTGCTAGCAGACACCTATACACGGAGACGACGGAAGATGCTTCTCCAGAGTCTTCCAACGCGAGCGACTGGGTTCCTAGGGATGTGTACGAGATGGGGTTTCTTGACGAAGGTGGAAACTGGCGATGCAGTTATGCAGGTTGCAGATCAGGGAGCATTTTCCACCGCGCATGCGATCTCCGAAAGCATTACGCTTCCCACACCAAAGTCTTTTTCTGCGTCCGACCTGACTGTGCCGCCCTGGGGCTAGGCTTTGCCACCAGGAAGGATTATGAGCGACACATGCGCTCGCACGAGCCCAATATCGCGTGTTTAGATGCCTCGTGCAGTCGAGTATTTAGCAGAATGGACAACATGGTGAGACTTGCGTGTGTTGCGTGCGTTTTTGTGCTTTCAGACTGCTGACACATGACTAGAGAAACCACTTCTTTAAGATGCATCAGCGACGACAAAATACCCTGTTTCCCAAGCCTTGTCGGAGGTCTAAGACGTCTACAACTAATCAGCAAAGTCGTTAGATACACCAACAATTATAATAGAATACAAAAGTTCATCAAATGCTATGAAACATGACTAGAGTCTAGAGATTGAATGTGTTACTACAACAGAGGTGAACCGGTAGCGGTTGGCGCAAACAAGGACCCAAGGAACGAAGTTAGCCCTGACATGGGCCCCGTAAAGTTGGACGACGTTTGGTGGAAAGAGGAAATGTCAAACGCCCAACAGAGACGTCTTTAGGGGCACACCGATAACGTTATCGAGGTTGTGTAAGAAGTTGAGGGCTAGGAAACGGTAATTACAATACAACCCACAAGACCAAAAGTCATCCTGCGATGGAGCAGCCACGACGCATCTGGGGAGTCCGTAGATGCGCCATGAAATCATGACACATTATGCCATTGTCTCACGGCCCGCGCCCGGTCTCTGAGATCCGACTTTGTTGCAGCTGGTGCTCAGATAATGCAGTACCATCGGCAGACCTACATACGAATGCCCCGCCGTACTGGACTTATTTGGCCATGGTGCATATCGGGTCACCATATTCATAGGGTAGGTGGTCTGGTGCTCATCTCCTCCTCGGCTACCAACCTTTTCGGCCTAATGTTTAGCGACAATAGCGCGTTTTGGGACTATCACGATACCAAGTTAGTCGAGGCGTGTTTGGGAAGCTATAGAGACCTTTCGGATAGCCCTGATGCCAAACTGGTCACTGCAACCAAACAATCTCGCGTGTGTCGAACCGCCTCGGATGCGTCTTAAAGATAGAGGGCCGAGAACTAAAGTCAACCGAACTAGCCAATAAGAAGTTTTCTAAAATCCAAGCGCAGGCCATTTGCAACTGTATTGAATTTCAAGACCTAATTAAACCTGCTATGCGAGCCGAGGTCGTTACAGACGCGGCAATTGACGTCCTTGAGCAACGGTGAGTAGATCACTTCAACCGAGTGATACCCGCGATGAATGCACAACAGATACCCACCTTCTCAAATTTGTCAAGCATTATGAGTACTGTCAGCGACCAGAGAGGAAAGTTTATTCTGACCGCCAAGCTTCTAGAACGTTTTACCGAATGCTTCAAGTTTCTACGAGATTATCTAAATAAATAGTATCCGCCCGGGAGATACCTGGAACATGGAGAAAAGCATAAACAAGGGCCGGTTAGTTGTCATTAAACGATGGTGGACCTATTACTTGAGCATGTCAGGGAATAGAGAGCCAGCTACGGCAATTAAAATTGTCCTGCCTACGGGAAGCATATTCGTAGTACGCCTCACATGAGCAAGGGTATCAACAAATGGAGCTGGACTCGGGTACATCCATGTTTGCTTCGACTTTAATCAGTCGAAAGATCGGTTGAGACTTGTAGGGCCGGAGCACTTTAGGCGACAGAGAGCGAAGAAGGCGGCCGGCGGTAGACGACTCCTAATCCTCAGCGGTACTGGCTTTTGCCGTAAAATAAAATGTATCACATATTGTAAAGAACACAATGTCTTATTTTTTTGGGCTTACACGGAGTTCCACACAATTTCTTTAACCCCTTTATGTTGTGGTTTTGTAGCCGTCAAAGCGCACAACGGCTTTAGCAGCTGTACGAGACAGCATTGTTGACATCTCCAAGCTTAGGTCCTTACCTATCGTCGATGGTGTTTGTGGTCCGTAGTATAAGGAGAGTCTATAGTTCTCTGTATTCTGGAAGGTTCGCATTAGACCCGCCAAATTACTCCTCATCGTAAAAGCTTCGAAGGAGCGACTTACAGGGATGAAAACGGCCGGATCTGCGCCCTCCCCTGCAGCATTTTCGCCAGTACGGCAGATCATCAAGGTGGCTAATGAAATTAAACATACCCTGAGAAACTCGAATATCAATTCAAGCTCCGCCTTTCTCTAATCGAGCTGATTTATCAGGGGTTCACCGAATCAGGCCTGCGAGCTGATCCAAACGGAGGGGGACCTTGGGCAAACAACTTGTGCTAAAAAAGTCAAATGATGGCGCAGGGCAAGCAAGAATAATTCCCTGCAATTAGTGAGGGTATTAATATGTCGTTAAAGGACGGTGTATGGCGGTCATATGGCGGTAATACTAACTTGCCAAGGCTAGAAATGCAGGAAAGATTACAGGCTGTGGAGATAAAAGTACGAAACTTTGGCAAGACCCATAGTGACGGGTCTTTTTGCCCCTTCATACCGGGGCTCTAGTGACTATGTTTAGAGCATCTGCCGATAATACTCATCAGGCGTGGCTTTCCCAGCTGTTCGGTGGCTTTCAAGTGTTGGTGGACTGGGGAGTGCATGAAATTATTCACTTTCGAGGTCCCCAATCTATCCGGAGCACCTCTCGATACAAGGGTTCACTGACAGGACAATGGTGAGACACTCGGGCACCTACAGTCTGTGGCAGAATATATTACCCACTGAGAAGTATACATCAATATACTGTAATATTGTAATTATACACTCAAGAGTATACCGTAGTATATCAAGTATCAATTACTAGACTAATATACTATAGTAAATCAAGTTTCAACTTGATAGACTAATGTATTTCAGTACATTATTGTATAGAGCGCGATAGTTACGTGGCTGATGTGATTGAATACTTGATACCTCTCACTGTGGCTATACGACCCTAACTGGTGCCGATAGTCCTGTACGATCAATATCAGGATATCTCGTGCGGCCAGTCGGCAACGCTTAGTGCAAGAAGTTGCAACTTTTGTCCCCTGGTGCATAAAGAAGGAAAATGAAGTCCAATTACACACATGGGACTTGGTAGTAGACTCAATAGCCGAAGCCGAAGCATTCTTGTGACATCTAGACGCATAAAATCGCGTGACCGTCGTCTGGTTCAATCTTGAAAAGTCAACATTTGAAGTTTTCAATGTTGGCTCACCAATCAGATGTCACTGCATGTGGTCATGGCCTGCTGAGCTTACGGGGGGCCTCACTGTAGAGCGGGCCCATCCACCCACTGTAGGCTGGTGCATGTGCGCTGCGACACTCAAGGTTGGACCAAGCGAACATGGAACCAGATTGACATCAATTCCAATGTTGATTGCAGTTGACCCACCAGGCCGGACTACAGCCCGGCTGCGGAGCCTTGAGCGCACCGGACCAGGCCGTCGGCCGTTAGGTAATGGCTGGATCGTCTGGTAGCATTCAAATGTTGACCGGACCAGACACAGCCCCGGCGCCGTGCGAGCGATTTGGACCCTCCAGCAGGCGCAACAAGGACGGGGCTGCATGCAAGGCCCCCAGTCTCACGCGACACCAGAACATTGACCTCAATGGCGGCTGATGTTGGCATCGTCTATGTTGCTGTTGTTGGACTTTGGTTCATGGAACTGAAATCGGTTGAGAGATATGTGTCAACATGAGTATATAATACGGCCAGTCTCTCGCTGAAAAATAAGGAGTACTCCAACTATAGAACCTAACGCATCCCCTTGCATCACAACAAGAAGAATAACAACGTCGTCATCATCATCATCATCAACATCAACAACCACCATGGCTGCGCACGTCGAGGCAAACCGAGCTAGAGAGCTCAATGAGCCTCTCTCGGGAGAGATGCTGCCCGCCAGAGGTGCTTCCATCCAGCCCGCAAACGGCAAGAAACCAGTGCCGCGCCTTTGGGATCTCGGAGATGAATTCGCCGTGTCCGCTCTCAAGTCTCCGTGGTACCAGTCGCTATTCGACATTCAGAGCACCTTCTTCCACGCCTCCATCGACTTCTTCCGCCAGCCCGACCTCGACTACAGCTATCTGCTGGTGCCCCTGACCACCGGCAGCATCAGCTCGCCCATGGGCCTCGGGTCCGATTCAATGCCCGTCTCCATCAAGCTGCACGGCGAGGACACCTACCTCGCCGACTCCCAGCAGTTCCTCCTCGAGTATGCCCTCCGCTACAACGACAAGGTCCGGGGCGCCTACTACGTCGGCACCAGCTGCCGCGGCGAGGACCACGACAGCACTCACCTCAACCAGTTCTGCCACGTCGAGTGCGAGCTGCGCGGAGGCCTCGACGCCGGCATGGACGTGGCCAACCGCTACATTGTGGCCGTGACGGAGGAGCTGCTCCGCAGGCACGGCCATGTCATCAAGGCCCAGGCGGGCTCGACGCAGCACATGACGGACCTGCTGCAGCTGTTTGCCCGCAACGGAAACAAGTTCCCCACCGTCACCCTCGACGAGGCCCTGCGTCTGCCCGAGATGGACAAGGGCGAGGGCACCATGTGGGAATACACGGTGGCCGGGCGCCCCGAGTGCGGGCGCTCGCTCAAGCGAAAGGGAGAGCAGGCCCTCGTCGCCCGCTTCGGCGGCGCCTGCTGGGTCGTCGAGATGGACCATCTCGGCGTGCCGTTCTACCAGGCCTACGCCGACGCGTCGCGCAGCAAGGCCCTCTGCGGCGACCTGCTGCTGGGGCTGGGCGAGGTTGTCGGCTGCGGAAACCGGCACACGACGGCCGACGAGGCGCTGGCCGCTCTGGAGCAGCACCACGTCGACCCAGAATGCTACGCCTGGTACATTGAAATGCGCAAGTTCAAGGCCCTCGACACGACCGGATGGGGTATTGGGTCCGAGAGGTTCCTCAGCTGGGTCTTGCAGCATGACGATGTGCGAGACGTCCAGCTTCTGCCTAGACTCAAGGGCCTTGCCTGCGCTCCATGAAGGAAACAAGTTGGATTTTGGTTGGGAGTTGTCAATTTCAGCTCGTTGTAAGCTTGCCATCGTAGGCAATCTACAACGGGAGACAAAAGAGTATTCAACGAGACCACCTACCTGGCGACCATGGTCTACACCATGACGTACTACAGTGTGTTGTTGTATACTTGAATACACCACGGTGTATGAGCGTATACTTGAATGTACTGCAGGGTATGAGCCTATGAGGTGTACTTTTCCATTGGCAAATAGAATTCCGTCACAGATTGTAGATGGCTCAATATCAAACACGACTTTGTCAAATATCCATTGAAGACGCAATAATGAATGGGATCCCGCCTCCGGCTGTGACACTTGACTTGTACATGTGCTTCGTAGTCAAATACACCGATTTTGTCGTGTTGTCCTAGACCCATCTCATGATGTCTCCCCAATTGGACTAAATGTAAGGTTGTAGAACGCGCCTGCTTGTGTTGCGCCGTTTGGGCCCCTCGGTCGCGTGAGCAATTGCCGTCTACGTGCGCTGATCTGTCGTGCGAGCAATTGCCGCCGATGGGAGATTGTCGCAACGCTCCCCTGTACAAAACTTCCCATCCTAAGCGGAGCTAGCTGTGCATAGCTCGGAACTCGGGACTTGACGCAATGAGAATGGACAGGCCACCATCCGGATGTGGTGCCGCGTCGATGGGGACGGGGGCGGAGCAGCCTTGGCTTTTGACATGGCGGCAGTTGTATTATGCAGAATAAAGTGAGATCTCTTTGTAAAAGTTACATCTTTGCCGGCTTCAGCATATCCACCTCGACTTTACTGGCCACTTCGTGGCGTGTGTCGGTAAACAGTGTAACACCAACTGACAAAGACTTTTAGGACAGTTCATCTTCCTCTGAGAAACCGCCTCCAGCGAGAGAAAATGTCCATTGGAAGCTCACAGTCAAAAGGGATAAAACACATCAGCCCCATGCCCGGCTAATGAGTGACTGGAGCGAATAATAATAATGTTCATGTTCGTTGCGCGGGTAAGAGTAGTTTCACGGACGCGTCTTGTGCCCCGCAAGGGACCTTTGCGGACAAAAGCCCCTGCAGGAAAAGCACATGTACTCTGTCACACGACCCGGACGCTCGGAATTGATGTACGTAGTGATGAAAAGCCAATGCGAGATTGAATGCTGGGCCCTCGTGAAAAGGGGCGCACGGCTCCATATGACGTCGCTACCCGTTCCCCGCCCCACTCACTCGCGCCCGAATTTCAATGTTCTCGCAGGACCAATCAAGTCGCGGGGAGACGGGTCCTGCCGGACGGACATTGACGCGAGTGGTACGTACTGCCGAGCACGCTGCTGCCGGTGGCGCTTGCATGGCGGGACACACAGTTGAGACCGCCGTAATCGTCTGGTGCTTGTCGCAGCAACCCGGTTGACGACAGCCGACTAGACCTTCCCGGTCCGGAAGTCCGCGCTGGCCGAGAACCGGCTCAGCGCCCGCGGCTTGAATGTCCGCACATGTCTGGTGGTTTGTGAGTCACCTCGCACGCTGGAGGCCCTGCATGGCGCAGCGTCGCATCGCGTCCATCCCAATGACTCGCACGGCGCTGGAATGACAGGGTTTGTTGGCAGAGCACGTCGACGAGCATTAGCCGCCTCTGCTTGTATCCGCTCGTGGCCGGCGCCGGCGACGGCATGTCTGTACGGAGTACCTACAGTGCTCTTGTACAAACCAACAATCATCACTGATCATTACAGTAGTTGAAGCTTCAGAATATATCGACTTCTGCCGCGCAACCTTGAAATTGTGTCTTTCTACAATATACGTCAACCCCGGTGTAAAACCGTACCAGTCTAAAAAGTAGGAGTATGAGAACTTGGTTGTGTGTAACGTCTGGTGGGGGGAGGGAAACAGGCTCACACACCAGAGACCACCAGAGACAGTAGATAAATATCTCGAGAAGCCAAGATATCTGCTGCCCATTTGCCTCCCTTTCCCATTTCCTAGTCCCCTTTCCATCTCTCCCAAAAGTACATTTTTCATCCCTCCCAAAACACATTTCTAACCCCCTCCCCAAATAAACGCCATGTCTACAACAGCACCGAAACCCCTCCCCATCATCCATCTCAATGGCTTCCCAGGGACGGGCAAGCTCACCGTCGCGAAATGCCTGCAGAAGATGCTAGGGGCTCACGGCCGCCTGGTCCACAACCACTTGCTCATCAACCCGGCCGACGCGGTCCTGCACCGCACCGAGCCCGGATACCAGGACCTGCGGCGCGCAATCCGCAGCGCCGTCTTCTCTTCTCTGGCGCAAAGCACCGCCACCCACGCCTTTGCCTACCTCTTCACCGACTTCCAGTCCAGCGACCCTGTGGGCAGCGCTACGTGCGCCGAATACCTGGATGCGGCACGCGCCAGGGGATGCTCGCTCGTGTCCGTCGTCATGAGCTGCGACGAGGCCACCAATGTCGAGAGGTTGATCACGTCTGAGCGCCAGGCCCATGGGAAGATTGTGGACCGCGACTTGCTCAACAAGTTCCGCAGCGGCGTAGATATTCACCGCTTCGAGGGTCCGGACCACGCCAGTCTGGAGCTGGACGTGACCAAGTTGAGTGCCGAGGAGGCGGCGCACCAGATTCTGCAACATGTGTTCAAGACTTGTCCAGAGGTCGAACAGGCTGTAGCTGGTGACAAGGCATCATGACGACTCAAATAGCTGAAACGTACTCATAATAGACCTTGTTGCATTTTCATTCTTTGGGGGGCACTCGTTTGATTTTGCAAAATTACCATATTACTGTGGAACAACTAGGCATGGATGGTACAAGTATCGCAACAGCGTCTGCGTCAGCCATCAGAATCGTCCGCGTTTCCCATAAGGTCCTCCATCTCAGTCACACTGCCTGAACCTGCAGTGGATGCCGCTTCTTCAACAACTTGGCCGTTGGAAACGCCAATAAACCCAAATATGATGAGAACTGACAGGGTGATCACCAGCCCAAATAGGACGATAAAACCCGTACGATACGCGTTGACCACTGGTTTCTGATGTCAGCATTTATTCGCACATGTCCTCAATAGGAGGTGTTGGCTACCTTGGCCCCGGAGTGGCTCCTCTAGAGTTCGCAAGTTGTCCATGTTCAAGCGAACACTGTTAATTTTCTAATTCCGCATGAGTGAACATGCCTCCATCTTCTCATGTGCGACTAAACGTGGCTTACCTTCTTGATCTCTTCAGAAGTCATCAAGGGCCGCATGGTCTGTTGGAATACGTTTTGCACAATGGTCGTGCTGATGGACGTTGCTGTAAAGCCGCCCAGGGACCTCATCATGATAAAGCCACCATTCAGGGTCGCATGGTTGTTGCGATCGCTCATTCCGAGCAGAAGCAGCAACGCACTTGGCGCCATCATCCCGACGCCCAGAATTGGCAATGCGAGGCAGAGGTTATACAGTGCACCCGGAGTTTCCGTCCTCGGAAGAATCGTTGCCATGACCATCAGCCCTGCAGCACCACAGAGCAGCATTACCTGGCTAATTCGTAGCGTTGGCTTGGGGGTTTCAAGCCTGGCAATTGTCGCCCCAGAAATCGCACTGACGACGGTAAAGGCGATGGAAGGCGCGACAAGGTGAGTGCTGGCTTGCCCAGGAGTCTCCAGCAACACGGCTTGGAAGAAGAATGTAACGTTATACATGACCTTGGTAAGGTTAGTGTGTAATACGCAGCTATACAATACGCACCATGTGTCTAGAGAAATTTTTTTGGAGAAAAACTCTTTGGAAAGAAACTTACAATGTAATTGATGATAGATAAGAAGAATGCGTTAACCATAATGTTTCTGAACGGAAACTGAACTAGGACCGGGGGAAGGACTGGCTTCTGGGCTTTTGCCTCGACTCGGACGAGGACATACACCGTACAAGGGAATAGGAATAAGGCCAGCAAGATGAAAGGGTTCGTCCAGGGGAGCACGTTTCCGGCAGTTCCCAAAACGAAGACCAACAACAGGAGAGAGATGACCTGAGACGGATCCATTAGCGCTGCAGGACAGAGACGGGGATCAGGAGAGCCGACGTACGAGGACAAGAGCACCGGTCCAATCGAATAAACTGAGAAGACGTCGGCCTTGTGCTGTTTCATCACGGGGACTCGTATCCTCCGATGCATCGATTGTCCAAGGTATGAAGAAATACACCATGATGAGAGTGACAAGGGCGAAAGGTAGCTGAATCTAGAGAAAGTATCAGCTTCGATGACCAAGGAGACAAAAGGGAAAAGATTAAAATACCAGGCATGCGGGCAACACACCTTGTACAACCAACTCCAACCAAATCGGTCCACAATAGTACCTCCTGAAACCGACCCGAGACTACACAGACAAGAGTAAGTACGTGACATAGCAGTGTGCCAAAAAGGCGAGCGAGGTAAAGGGCTAGGCTATTTACGCAGAAGCTGATCCAAAATTTACATAATTCATCGACTGATAATAACCTCTCTTCTTGACGCCGACAAGGTCAGTCAATACCACGGAGCCTATCTCGCTCGGCAAGTCAGAATTCCACAGCACTCTACGTTTGTATGCCAGATTTGGGCCATACCCATGATGGTTAATCCTGACGAGGCGAGCCCACAGACGCATCTGGCAAGAATCAGGCAAGTCCAAGAAGGCGCGAGGGCAGCCAGGCTGATGCCAAGCAGGAACAGGGCGGCGCATGACAGGTAGATGGTTTTGCGGCCGAGGCAGTCGGACAGGCTGGCGTACAGCGGCTGTACGGTGATGGAGCAGACCAAGAAGGCGGTGACGGGCCAGGTCGAGACATTGGTCCGGTTGAAGTGCGAGGCAACGGCTACGTGTGCTGAGGATGACAAGCTGGAGTCGACGGCGGTCATCTGCCGGGTTGGTTAGCGATGCCAACGGGAATACCGCCGTACATGGCAGGGCGGTGCCAAGAGGGAAGAGGGCACTTGCAAAGTTGGAGACTAGGATGGCTACAGAGAGGCGGATATATCAGTAGACGTCGACTTGGGTGTGTGTTCAAATGTTGCAGATGCCGTCGACGTACCAGCTATGCTGAGATAGAAGCGCGTGGTGTTGTTTGCCTGTGGCCGACTGGCGTGTTGGGTGCGGACGGCCATGGTGTGCGGATGGGTGCCGGATCAGATGCTGTTGTGACCATTGAGAAGCGAAGGACAAGTAAAGGAGTAAAGAGATGATTGAGTGATTCAGCAGTACAATGGATAAACGCAGAAAGACAACATGGAAGTGCCGTCTGGTGGTGTTTCAATCTAGCCAGACTGCCCGCCCAACTTGTCCCGCAACCCGGCAGCCAAACAACGCAGGCCGTCGAGATGCCAGCTCCTCGGCCCCAAAGCAGCGGTAAGCTCTGCATAGTCATGATCGGATCCATGGTGCTCAAAGGGCGCAGGGTTGGGCCAGTGGTGATCGGGGAAGGACGAGGCCACCAGCATTTCGTCGCGCTCAGCCGACGCCGGGTCCACCAGCAGGGACCATCTACGGGGGCAATTGGGGCCACTACAGGGGCTTCGGGGGCCCTCCGGCTGCAAGGCCTCCCGCAGGCCGCCCTGCAAGGCCCCCCACAGCGCCTCAACAGCCCCCTGGGCCTCGGCCTCGCTGACCAGGAACAGCCCACATGCAGGCCGGCCATTTTGCTCCTCCGCGTCGTCGTTTTCCTCGCCACCTTCATCCACGCCATCATCTCCCCCAGCACATGCCCGCCTGATCACCATGGACGTCTCGTGGAAAATGGCAGAGTGCTTCTCCGTGCTTCTCCTGCTCCTGCTCCTCTCCTCCGCCGCATATCGACCGTGCACAGGGAACAGATGGCCGCCGTCGCAGCCTGGCCAAGTCATCATGGCCACGTCCGACGACCCGACAACTTCAACCAGAGCCTTCGCAGCGCGTCTAAGGGTGCCAAACCAGGCAAACACCTGCTCTCTATCCATGCCTGCGAGACTCGTGCCTTTGAGCTTGAATGTGAGCTGGCCTGGCCGTGTCGGGTGCTTCGACACTCCGATCTGCATCATGTCGTCCTCGTAGCAGCACAAGGGGCCGATGATGGGCATGGTGCAGCGAAGCAGCCCGACTTGGCGTCCACATCGCGCCGCATCGCCTGCCGATGCCATGGTAAAGATCCTGCTGTTGCATTGGGTCGTCCGCTCGCCGTCGGATGTAATGGCAATGACACCACACGAGATGGACGGGCAGAGCCGCGTCGCCTCCCAGATGGCCTGCTCGACGGCCTTTGCGACGCCAACACCACTCCTGTATAAATTGGCGATGCGGCCGGCCAGCATGCTCGTCATGATGGCCTCGCCCCCACCGCTGCTGTGAAATGAATGAATCCCATTAGCGAGACGCGCGGAACCACGGGTCGCTTCACATACCATGCCACTGCCACTCGCTCATCCGCATACAGCCCAGATCCCAGGATGGCCGTATCGCCAACCCTCCCGACCGGCTTCATGGTCATGCCGCCCGTAGAATTGGCTGCCGCCACATTCCCATGCGAATCCAGCACAACGGCCCCGACCGTGCCGTGTTCAGACACGTCGGGGCGCTTCTGGCGCCAGTAACTCAGGCGTCGCTCCGTGCCAAAGTAGCTGTTGTCCACCGTTTCCAGACCCAAGCGACGGGCAAGCTGATCGCCGCCGACGCCAGCGATAAACACGGGCGCCGTCGTGCCTCGGCGGTCGAGCATGGCCCGCGCAAGCTTGATCGGGTTCTTGGTCGTCCGCAGGCAAACGGCAGCGCGGTACGCAGAGTCTGCGCCATTGACAATACCAGCCTCTAGCTGGTGGCCGTTTTATCTCTCCACGTTAGTTTGTAGACGCACATGAAATCATGTAGAAGGGGTCTGGGCAAATATATTCGCGCACCTCGAAGCAGCCGTCGATATTTACAGCCGATCCTTTGCCCGCGTTGAACTCGGGAAAATCCTCCAGTTCCGCCACTGTCTCGGCAGCCACATCAACGGCGGTTGCGCCCCGCTCAAGAGATGCTTCTGCCTTGTTGACCAAGTTGTCGAGAAAGGCGTTGGTGGCTTTGAAGCTCTCGGCGTCGCCTACCCATGACTCCGAGGCGCCTCCGTGGAGGACAATTCCTACGGGACCCATTGAACCTCTTGCATTCGGTTATGAAGGATACGAAATAAGATGGTGATTTGGAAGATACAGCACAACGGCAAAATGGTGTAAATAGGTGGTAGAATCATGTAAACTTGAGGATGGGCATAGACACCGTCCACAGCGGGCCTATCGCGGCCTACTATGAAACTAAATACCTGGCCGCCTTGTACCGAACCCTTACTACTTGCCCGGGGTTACAGTCTGCAAGGCCACCAGCTGCAAGAGAAGTCAAGGTCTGCGATCCTTGTGACTAGCCTCGACGAAGTGCTCCAACTACCCACTTTATCTCGAGTCCTGGACCTCGGGCTCGCATTGCCGTGAGCAACCAGGTGGGTGTGAATCTGCGTGAAGTTGCCCGGCGCCACCATGCAACTTGGCTTCCTTGTAAGAGGAGGAGGCGGATCATTGAACATTGCATAGAGGCGAGGATATCATCTGATGTACTGACCTCTGCGCCTTTTTCCCTGGTCTAAACCTTGCTTGAGGCGTCAACTCCACGTGGCTAGAGGAAGGACGACATGCCCGGTGGAAGCTTTATATCAGAACTGGTCGCTCAATGACGGTGTATTGGCCCGTGACCTTGGCCACCAGCAGAATTCGAACGACGCTAGGTGACATTCGACCAGTAAATGGATATCGGGGTTGCTCACTCGATAAACCGTACGGCGACTCAGCAGAGAACCTCGCTAGTGTTGGTTGGAGACTCGATAGCCATGTTATTCGGCTGTATCGTTGTGCGCCCAAAAGGGAAGAACTATGAGGTTTTTGGCGAAGCTCATATTGAAGAGTTAATGGATGGCGAGGGCATTTCACTTATTGAATGTGGCAAGCCATATCCCTTTGACTAAAAGCCATCTATCCGCTCGTTTAACCTTTTGGAGCCTTTTTTGGTCAAATGGCGGTTGAATCTCACGGAAATGACTTCTCCGTCGTCCATGGCTTCAATACCGGGAAACCCTTCGCTTCTCTGATCTCAATTTGGTATCCAAACATTGTCCAGAAGCAAGATCGCCCCTGTCCCCGAAATACATATTGCTTTCGCCGCTGTGAGCTTGATCCGGACATTGTTTGCTTGGATGACGGCACCAAACGCCTTGATATGCATGCCTGTTCTGATTCCTTGTACCCCTGGAATGTAATTCACAATCTGGCCGATTGTGAGTGGCCCATCCACTTTGATGCCAATATAGCTACCGTCGTTGCCCGCATTTATGGTTGCAATTTTTCCAACAGTACCCTGGTCGACTATCGAGATGTGAACAATGTCCCTGTAAGTGATGAAAAAATTTCAACCCGTGGTGATGGGACCTGTTTGTGGAGGGATACCGAATGGAATTCCTTCGCCAGTGCCCGCGAGATATTGGCGCGGCAAACAAAAGTACACAAGATCGGAGCGCGGGCCAGGGCTGATGAGATAGGTGCCAGGAGGAAACCAAACCACGCCACCTTTGCCTTGTGCCACATTAATTACCCTCTGAATCGCAAAGGAGTCATTGGGGGTTCCGCCTCCAGTTGCACCAGAACTCTTGTCCTTGACGAAGTATCCGTCCCGGTCGTTTTTGGACATGATAAAGTCACTGTAAGCTCACGATAACGGGTAGCGGTGGCTGACATCCAACAAAGTTGCTAGTTCGGTTCTGGTTCGTATAGGGATCTGATGTCTTACTATCGAGATCGACTCATGAGTTGAACAACTTGCCAGATGACAGCGAATCTCTACGATATCAACCATTTCTAATGAAGCATATAGGCTCGGGTTACAGCGGCAACAATAGGTGAATGCTGCTGACACTTCTCTTGCCACCACCGTCACATTCAACCTCCCTCTCGCAAACTTTGTGAAGTTTGCCTCCTAACAGCCTAGCCCAGCTGCCAAGCAAGCATTTGGTGGTGCCCCATTATGTCGGAGAGGAGTTCGCGTTGAGTTTGTTCACGGAATAATGGCTGGGAATCTCCTGGAACCCGATAGAGGCAAGCTATCATTGACCACAAGAAACAGGCAACTTGTTGACTGACTTTGTGCGGCTGAAACTTGGAGACGTTGGTTAGACTGCGCGTCTAATGTAGGCTGTGAAACGAAATTTCAATCTTAAATCTTATTCCGACCAGCGCTTCGTAGTCTATTATGTGTATAGTTCACTTTTGACAGCTCCAACTAGGCCCTGAACACTAGGTATAGTTGCTGTCGAGGCCGCAGTATTCAGAGGATTTACTCTGACAATTTCGATGGACTTTTCGTCGTTTTGGAACTGTAAAGATTATGTGCAAGACCATCAAGTGCTTCCATTGCCCAATCCGGCAGCCACAAAACACCCCCTGCGAGGCAAATTCCACGCTGGTACGCAGCAGCTGTAGTCACTCCTCATATCGTACAGCGGCATCTACTCCAAGGTAGCGAGTGAATAAGACGTTTACGTAGTCCCATTTCAAGCCCCTCTACCTCTGATGGAATCTATATCTGCCATCGTCAGCTATCACCAGACTTCGCATATGTAGTGGTCCAAGGTTAGCGCTGCTCATACACCAAGGTTGCCTTGAATGATTTTGTGTCTCATCCAATTCCCTAGAGGCAAAGAGTGTATTTCCGTACGACACATTTATAAGAGCTAAGCAAACATCACATCCGCCACGCAATACACCAACGAGCCAACTCACGGCGCGTAACACATGTGGCTTAAAGAGATTGATGACCACCTGTACCCGAGGGAACGGCACTACTTGGCGACAGAATCGTCACCCACGCCGGAAGACACCCACATATAGAATACAAGTGGCGCCCAAGACACAATACTAACGGCCCATGCTCCCCAAAACACAACTTCTCCATCCCATGCCATCGGTCCCCCATGGACAAAGTGGACACCAAACTCCAACAGACACCACAGAGGGAGGAGCATATTAGCCCAGGCAACCCACCGTGGAATCGGCGCCTTCGATCTGGTATCGGACAAGATGCCCTAGGAGACGGCCAGGCTTTGCAGCACCATGGGACCGGCGCTGCTGTTGTACCACAACCACGTCAGGTCGCTGGCAAGCTGAGTCAGGGCAGGGTCTCGATCGGGTCGATAGACTGCAGCTGATGCGAAGGTAGCCGCTATGGGAAATCCGAAGCTGAAAACGCAACCGGCCGCCACCTGCAAGAGAATGGCGCTCAATGGAACCCCGGGGATGCGGCAGAGTTGATTATGGAGCCCAATTGTGTAAAGGGGCCAAGTCAGTGACACGAACCGGAGTCCAAGACTGCCAGCTTTCACACCCGCAGAGTGTTGCTCATAGTGACTTGCTACCTCATTCAGACTCGCAGCTGGGGAAATCGGGGGTAGGAAATGGCCAGTAGCGTTGAAAACTAGCGTCAACAACATGGAGAATGGTCCAAGCAAGAGAAGGATCCTGTCTTGGAATCGACCCGAGGGTGTGCAAGGGCCGCTGCGGCGGGCACATGGACACTCCATTATGCTTGAGGATTATGCTTGAGGATTCCGGTCTTGTCGATATTGAATTAAATGGTGGAACAGCCTGGAAGGTGCTACTGCTAGAAGACGTGGGACAAATGTCTAATCAAATCCATGGGATAGCTGGACCGCGGGGAGGGCTTCCTATTTAATCAGCAATGCAACAGGTGCCCAAAATGGTGGCAACCTGATATTCAAATCACGTCGATACGAAGCGCCGGCTACCTTGGTAGCATTGTGGCTGCTCTTTCAGTGGTTCGTGACAGATGACGGCATTTTGGGACACTGTATACATGCGGCAGGGCTCGGATGCTCGTGTCTGGTGCGTTTTAACCTTGTCAAAGCTTCCGGTTGGATTCACGCCCTTGCTGCCAAGCTGGTATGTAGTCACATACCGTAATGCTTCCTGGCATTACTGTTCCGGGCTCTTATATAGTTAGCCCTTGTCGCAACTAGAACCTCTCTTGGAAGAGGTGGGCTGAGCAGAAGTATAAAACCCCTCCGTACACCCAACTACCCCAAACCACCACAATTATAATGACGCAACCAAAAGGATCTCGTGAGACAATTTTACTTCTTCAGTAGTAGGGTAATGACCGCTAACAGTTTATTCGTTGTAAATCTGGAACGGCTATGCTCCGAGCAAGACCGCCCCCATATTCTCCCCATTCAGTACTCCTATGACTGGATCAAAGACACAGCGCCGTACGTGAAGCCGTTTAGCCTCAAGCTCAACAACTACATGCGCTCTGTCTCTACTGATGGCTACAATATTCCCGGCGCTCTGGAAACACATGCCCTCCTTGATGAGAACTCTATTACTCTCGACCCGGTGGCAGGTGGTTTCCCGTGGCCAACGTCCATCCGATGTGTGCGTCAGAATATTCACTGGCAAGCTTCAGTTGATGGATACACCAATAATTTACGAGCTTTCATAGAGGACAAGACGGCACAACGCACGCCAAGTCCGGGTGCTTTCACTATCGCAGACATGGCTCGTAAAGAGCTGCTGTATGTGGCGGACGGCAGCTCCCGCTTTGTAACATACATGTACCCCTTTCCAGATGCACAGGTAGTAAAAATGCTAGCTGAGATGCAGTGTTTATCTCTGCTTTTCGATGGTTAGTTCCCGCTGCGTACTTATTGGCTATATTTCAACACAATTTAGCGCAGTGCAACTAACTCTTTGAATACTAGAATCCTGGGAGCTTCACGAACATGAACATGTACGACAGAACCCCGGATAGACCCAGAGGACCAATGTCACAACTGACACCAGGATTCACAGAATATAAGCTTCTTCACATCCCTTATGCCTCCAGAAAACCACAGAGAGCTCTCTCCAAAAACACCTCTACAAGACACTATCTGGAAGTCTATTGAAGCCGTTTTGGCGCATGACATGATGACCGGAGGGAACGGTGGCAGAAACCTCATACAGTTTCTAACGGACTACATTACCCATCCCACTCCGACCAAGGACTTCAGCACGTTTCAAGACTTCATGGACCATCGTTTCAACGACGGGGGAGTGATGTGAGTTTTTCGTACTCTCGCTCCATTAGCAGTACAAATTCAGCCATATTGTACTTTTCTAACCATCTAACAGGGTCTGTTGGAACTCGGCCAAGTTCTCTATCGGATCGAATCTGGATTTGCGAGAGCCCAGATTGGCGCGATTTGTGCGCATCTTTTCAGACCATATGCTTCAGTCCAACGACATTGCATCCTACGATAAGGAAATGCGGTACTGGAGAGAGGGAAAGGCCAAGCAGTTTCTCACCACCAACGGCGTTGTCATTCTTGCTAACTTGCTATCTACTTCCGGGGATGACGCCGCCAAGGCGGTTGCATACGCATACCAGATGGAGAAGGAGAGGCAAATCGACGCAGAATTAGGCGCACTGTTGTCTGGGGACTTTTCTGCCCAAGAATGGCGGCTGATCTGTGCCATGTTGTACTGCGTGACTGGGAATATGATATCTGCCGTTACCATGAACAGATACTCCGGGGATGAGTCAAAGCTTCCTGATGGCGTGATCAAACCGGCATAGGAGCCATCTCATGCATGGGCTGAATGTCAGCTTGCTGAGAACGGTATATGAGTCGCACTTTTCTAGCGGCTTTCCTTCTTTGGTGAGTAATCTATGCAGAGTTTGACAGAAGATACTCATCGTACTTGCGCTGCTTTGAGGTACGTGGCAACGGTACTCTGGCAAATGAACCATCCTTTCTTTACTTAGACGCTAACATGCTGGGTGATGAAAGTCTCCACGATCCGTAGACTAGAAATACGTCGTAGGACCAAGTACCAATAATGGTCAGGCAACGAGAATACTCACTAGGTTCTTTGATACCCACAAATAACCCGATAAAATTGTAGTCTCGGTAGCGGGCGTCCTCCTTGATATGCCCGTGGAAAAGCCACAATACTTTCGTATTTCAGCTGCCCCCCTCTTTCGGCCTGTCAAGCCAAAATAGGATATGCGACATAACGTTGGAATGTAATTCTTGCTCATGTTGTGCCACACGACTACTCACGAAACGGCCGTACAATGCAATCCGATGTGATGTGAGTGCAGGAAGAGAGAGTAATAGGAGAATTGCATGACGCTCTGAATCAGCGCCTGCTGAGAGGCGCTTAGGGATAATCCGGAGTGCCACGTTGACACGTACCAATGTTGTGATTACCTGCAAGTAGTCGGAGATTTAAACACCGTCTCCCGGAGAATACTGACACTTTTTTTCTACCATATCAGAATACCTCGTTCCTGAGTGACCTAGCCCAAGTTTAGCATGTATGCCTGCGGGGGCACAGGACCGGCCACTGGAGAGAATGTCTAAACAAGCAGATGGGCTGAGTGCAAAATTATAAAGCTATCCCTTCAAAACCATGTTATCATGTCATGGCACCTTCTTAATGTAGCGTGTTTCATTCTCACTCCCAGTTAGCTACATCCAAAACTGCACGTCACACAATGCCAGTCGAGTCCACCCACAACATCCTGACCTTGGTCCTTGGCAGCGTGAGTGCAAGAATGTGTGCTATATGTCAATTGTTTCTGCTAATTATGCCGCATTCTCAAGTTTGCCATCTTTTGGATCGGCAACGTGATATGGAATATCTTTTTCCATGCGTTGCGGAAGTATCCAGGCCCGTTGATCGGCCGCGCAACCGTCCTATATTATCACGTCAGATACTTGCTAGGTCATTTGCCGAACGACTTTCACACCCTCCACAGTAGGCATGGCCCCGTAGTGCGTGTTGCTCCTAACCAACTGTCCTTCATCAGCTCGCGGGCCTGGGGGGACATTTATGAATGGCGTCGCGAGGGTAGGTCAGCTCCCGAGATGGCCAAGCATCGCATGTTCCAATCTCTGGGCCCAAACACACCGGCGACCATATTCACGGCCGACCTTCGTAGGCATGATCAGCTCCGTCACAAATTGGCTCCTTGCTTGTCTGAAGCAGCCATCAGACTGTATGAGCCCAATCTGCAGGAGTACACTAGTCTTCTTATCCAACGGTTGGCTGCCAACTCACAGAATGGGACTCAAGCCATCAATGTGCGCGACTGGATTAATTATTTTGCATTTGATATTTCTGGAAAGCTTGTCCTTAGTTCCGACTTTGGCTGCTAGCGAAACTCGGCTTACGACTCGTGGGTTAAAGCCGTCTCATTTTGCGCAAAGGAAGCTGCTATTCTCCACGTGTCTTTTGCTCTGGGTTTAAGACGGATTATCCATACCATTGCGGGTAAGGCTTTGCTGGCACGGCTCCAAGAACATGAGAACTCGACGCAACAGAAGCTGGATGTGCGCCTCAAGACCAAAGTAGACCCTCCTGATATGGTGGAAGCTTTATTGACCGTAGCTGACCCTCCCCTGGTACGCTTTTAGTACTGCGAAATTATTCAACCCATTGAAATAAATCTGACTTGGGTGGCTTTCTAGTCAAAAAGCGAGATGCTTCAGAACACTTCCCTCCTCATCATAGCAGCCTCAGACACCACATCTTCACATCTCACCGGTGTTTTCTATCACTTGGTCCAGAATCCTGAGGCACTTAGAAAGGCAACCCAGGAGGTCCGGTCCTATTTCTGCCATGGAAAAGATATAACAGTTGCTTCAACTGCTAAGCTGACCTACTTGAAGGCATGTTTGGACGAGGCTTTAAGACTGTTTCCCCCAGTGCCGATGGGAGTACCCAGAGTGGTTCCAAAGGAAGGTGCAATGATAGCAGGCCATCCTGTTCCAGGTGAGGTAATTTCAGGTCCATTCTACTGTAAATGTTCAGGGTCAGCACCCGTGCTAAGAGAGATTACACAGACAATAGTCTCTGTGCCTCATTGGGCCGCGTATCACAGCGAGATCAACTTCTTTGAGCCATTTGAGTTTCGTCCAGAGCGCTTTCTGGGAGATGTGAGATACTCGAGCGATGATCTTTGTGCCCTACAACCTTTCAGCTTTGGCAACAGGAACTGCATTGGGCGAGCGTAAGCGTTATGACTCTTTGTCCATTTTGTGCAGCATGTCTAACAGAGGCAGTTGTAGTCTCGTCAACGCACAATCTCGGGTTGTTATGGCAAAGATTCTCTATACTTTTAATTTGCAAACAGCGCCTGAGAATGATGGGTGGTTGGACAGAGTAAAATCTTATATCCTGCCTGACAAGCCAAGTCTCTACGTGTATTTTCAGCCCGTACCTGACTTTGATGAATAATTGTTGAATTGCAGTTCTGAGTTATTCCCATACAAATCACGGAGGCCGCTAGTAAAAGCACAGGGCTAATTCTGTCGGAGACAAGGGAAAGTAGTTCCTATGGAGAGTTAGGTTTTAGGGTTTGTAAAATCCGCGTATAATACACATCATTTAAATACTTCAAACGCCCGTTGGAGAGGCATGGGACTTGGCGGCTGAATATTCAGCCCGAATTATAATACCCTTTCCCAACGTGCAGTCTTGCAATGGGTCCATTATATGCCAAGGTAGTCAAAGAGACAAACCTCACGATTCCTGCAGCATACCTATATAGTGATACAAAACGCAGGAATATAAGGCGTACCCCATGTATACGGATGAGGTAGGCGATAAGCTGCGTTCCTACTACACGGCCAGAGATTAATGGATGCCCCGCACCAGACATGACACTTGGTGGATGCCATGCCATTCTTTTTATAAGTGCGAGTAATATACTATATGGATTGCTCTCTATTTAGTATCTTGTGCATTAAATACATGCAATTGCTAGCCCATGTATCTCCGCTGGCATTATATTGACGGGTGCTTTGCTAAAATTTGACCAGACATCTACGTATAGCTTCAGGGCCATTGCTGTCCACCAGATGAGACGCTAGATATCAATCTTTCGGTTCTCGCGTTATGTCTAGGAGTCTAGTCTGCTGGCATCCTATAGAGTCAGGTAAGCCTGGTCACACTTTTCACTTTCGCCCAATAACATGAAAGCCGCCAGAATGCAGAAACCCCCTATAGGATGATTCACATATCAGGAGACGCCACAATTCTTTTCACAATACATGCACCTTTCCTTTTGCGTACGTGGGGTTAAGTCAGGCTGTATAACCTCTAATCTTTGGGAGACGGTAATTTAGTAGAAACTATATTACAATATGTTTCTCATAAATGTTTATATCGGCTACCATAAAACTCCACGTCCCTCCTAACTCCTTCTTTTACAGTCTATAGACGCTGTGATTAGGTTATGTTGGTCATGTATTTTATTTGCTCCCCGCTAATTTGCTAGGTTGGCATTTATCTTTTTTGTACTGGTTCCATAACGGGCCAAGGCCATTGAAATAGGAACAAGTCTGGTATCTTGACAATGTATGCCTACGCCCCTTTGGCTCTACCGCTTGTCCTCATATACGTGTCTTTCCCCTTTTTCGCTCTCTAAAACAAGGCTGCTGCGCTCAAACCGGCGTCCCATGAGGTCTAAATAGCACCACTAGGCATCATGACAGACTGGCAAGAGGTTACAACCCATGACATTTCGATGGCACCTCATGTAATTGCTATTGCACGACAGGATAGGATTGTGAAGACGGATGCTTTTCAAAGGCAATGGTCAGGACTGCCTGCCGGATTTCCCCACCAAGTTGGAAAGGGATGCTCTTGTCCGCTCGCGCCAAAGACGGCAAAGGACAAGACAAAAATGACAATCTGAGATCCACCGTCCAATGCTGCTCCGATAAGGTAGTTGTATTTATTGTATATCCTCGGCAGCTTCCTCCGAAGCCATAGCTGCGAGAAGACTCCGACCGCGATGGATGACCAAATCCAGGACGTGTTGCCATAGTACACCTGCCCAGCAAATGACGAAACAATGGCCGTGTTGATCGGCCAGGCTCGAATCCGTGGAAATGCCCTGCCCAGAGCCCAATGCAGAATTGGCAAGGCCGCACCGATAAGCAGGCCGAGAGGAACGAGCACATACCGACCACTGGCGCTGTACATTTGCTTTGCGAGCGCCCACGTGATTGCTTGAGAGTTGAGGCTCTGGTATGTCGATCCGCTCCAGATGTTCGTTCCCGTGGGGTCGAGAAGAACATCGCGCTGGTTGGTAACAATTGTCGTCATGACGGCATAGTTGAATCCCGCTCCGAGCAACGTGCCATAGACCTGGGTACCAAACATGATGCGGTGGGGGATTTTCGTGTACTGGCCAACCTTGAGCCAGTTGGCCAGGTTGACAGCCAGCAGAATGACTTGGTGAGACCAACTCGCAAAGTAGAGGTTGGCAAGCGGTCGACCCGGGTGGATGGCACCAGCTACCATTTTGGAAAGCTGGTTGGTACCAATCCCGGTACCGTAGAGGCCGTAAAGAACGCAGGAAAACGGGGCGATGAATGCTCCGACGAGAAGCGACACTATGTATCCCCATGCTGGCAGCGTGGTTTCTCCCTTGATGTTGACAACCAGCCCGGCGACAAAACACAGCACAAAGAGGGCCACGTACCACCACATGGGGACCTCCTTGTACTTCAGCATGGCTTGGTAGTGCGGATCCGGCTGGGCCCTGCTGCGTGCTTGCTTCCACGCGAGAGCCATATCCTTGCCATAGAAGATCAAGACGTGGGTAATCAGGGCGCCGATGGCCAAGTTTGCCGTGAAGTACCCCCAAACCGTGGTCGCAGTCATATGGGGAAGACCCACGCCGTCAAGCTTCTCTGGGTCAATGGTCCCCTGCCCGTTGAGGATAGACGTCGTGTTGAATCTCGTGCCGTTGCCGTTGAAAAGCGACGTCGACATGAAGGGGAAGCTTTTGGCGCCCCAGGCGTTGTTGTAATAGAGCCCAAGCATCGCCGCGTACCATATCCCGTAGCCAATCCACGAGTTCAACTGCTGCTTCAGTGGCAGGGATAGATACCCGCTCTGGATGTACTGCCAGTCGAGGGAAAAGTTGAGCAAGCCGAGCCCCTTGTTGGAAGACGCGCCGCCAAAGATGGTTGTGAAGACGCGGCGAGTTGCACTGGGGGCATTCATGGACGCCAGGCAGAAGATGGAGATGCCGCCAAACCACGTCACCATGTAGGCGGGGAAAACCTCCCACACGGCAGCGATGGCCAAAGCCCAGCCGAACTTGATCAAGCGAGACCGGTTCTCGCGCTGGTCGAAATGGAGGTTTTGGTAGAGCACGACCTGCGGCAGCGTCGACCAGTACACCATCTCGGCCGGATAGACGATGAGCGGTCGCAAGACGCCGGCTAAAACGAAGCCGCAGAGCGAGATGGAAAAGGTGCCCAGTACTGCTGTCGTGGCAGACACGGGTCGGTCGTAAAACAGTCTTTCCACGGCGTAGATCTCGACACCAGAAAGCCCGTTGTTCCCCGAAGAGGCAATCAGAGACGCCACAACATGTTCTTTGATACCAAAGGGCTGTCCGAGATTGAGAAATCGAAATACACGGCGAAGCCATTTCCATTTCACCCGGTCCGGCCGCGGTGTTGCCAGTGCCCACGCCTCGCCAGCAATGTAGACCAGAACTATGTTGCGGGCTTTTAGCGACAGGAGCAGAATACACGTCAAGTGGACAATCTTACGCTGTAGAAAGACGGCTGACACCTGCATCTGAGTCGGCTTAAAGGTGTAGAGCATGGTGATGACGCTGGACAGAGCTGTGAAAGCCGTGCCCAGGAGTATGGAGCGAAAGGTGAGCGCCGCATCACCATCGTCGCGATCCGAGACGAGATACTTGGACACGTCGGCTCCTACAGAGGGGGGTGTTAGAAACGCCCGGCACATGTGTACAACCGACCATGCTTACCGTTGCGAATCACCGGATGGCCCTTGACATGTGTGGTGCCGTCATTTTCTTGTGAGTCGGCATCCCCCGTGTGCCTGTCCTGTGAAGTCGTCTGGACCACATTGGGGATTTTGTCTGCCTGCTGCTTAGACATGGCAAAGTTTCCGAAATAGGTGAGCACGTCTACCGAGTTGCATGGCCGTATTGAGCGGAACAATGAGGAGCCCAGAGGTGACTGTCAATTCATTCAGTCTTGCAACGTGGCGATGGCAAGTTAGAGTCGCGGGTGCTGCCTCTACGTTTTATACTTTGCAACTAGCCCCCTGTGATATTTCAGCCGGTGGGAAACGGCCACCATTGTGAGCGCATTTTCTCCAAGAGGGCATGGAGGTCCACGATAAGGCTCCTTGGCTGGCACTGCCGTAACACAAATTTGTCGTCGGAATGTAGCACATGACCACACCAATAACGGCGTTTTCACGTTTCGCAATTTCGTGAGGTGGTGAAAGGGCTACCGAGTGTCTCGTGGTTGGCGGTTCGAGAAGTCGAGTTGGCCATGGACGAAATCGCGTAATATGTGCCCAGAATGCCGAATCCGCGGCCAGTACGCGCTACTTGAGTAGAAAAACTTACTAGTGAACATGTAGCTCTCTATACTAGCCAGGTTATCAGTACAGCCATCACCTGCTAATTGTGACGGAAATAAAGGTACTGTTTAACCGTTATTATCCGATTGGTTTTGCGACTGACTACCCACAAGGCCTCGCGGCCTCGATGAGGTAAAAACATCTGGCCCCTGGTGACGACGCATGATATACCAGCACATCCGCCTGCTCAAGTCTACCAAGCTGCCGTCCGGGGCACGAGTCATGCTACTGGCTTCGGTTCTCGAACAATCGACCACCCTGACAGAATACTTGGAATGACACTCTACGTAGTGCCACGAGCTCCACCCACGTGGGTTATTTTCCCGCTCTCTTCATCACTTTGCTACGTTTCTTGCCGAAACATACGCGGCGGCCATTTTTAGCCCGGCCATCTACGGACCTTTCCAACGCCTAAATTGGCAACTACTTGCATACACTAGTGCTGGGGTAGCTCGGTGCAACTACTCAAGTTGTATGTATGGCTTTTGCCGCCTTCATTCACACAGAGCACGTTCAACGGCTGGAGGATATCACACGTGTGGACGAAAAATTCCTTTATCCACCCCCAACTCATACCTACAGAGTGTCAGGATGCGAATCGAGAGTCACTTCATGGAATGTACTGTCTTTGAAAGGTTTCATCAAGGCCTTAATCCTCTTAGTGCATGACTACATATCTTGCACCTCCGTTCCAACAAACACACTCTTCAGGACAAGGCCGTGTCAGAAATCTCTGAGCTGTGCAATTAGGCGATACATCCACTCTATAAACACATCTCCCATATGAACCACATTTATTCCACTCATTATAGCGTGTGTGACAGCGTCCAAGTCTCTTCCGTGGCCCATTACCTCGGGAGCTAATCGACAAGGGCATTATTTCACTTATCAGCACCAGCCACTCGCTACTGTACAGACATTTGTATAATTACAGCAATGTATTACGTTGCTCCGTTTTCCGCATCTCCCGTTATCTTACCATACCCACCCGTCTGTCTATACAGCGACAGCAAGTATTCGAGACGAGGCGATAATAGAAACGCGTCACAATGCAAAATCACACCATCAACCGCCAAAAACTGAATCTATTGGCCTACTATAACCGAATCAAACAAATCTTTTCCGGCGCTGGTCGCCTTACTTCATATTCTGGAGAAGATACTTGACTCCGGCAAACGCCTCCTCACCGCTAGGGATAATTTGTTCCGGCGGCAAAACGAATCCATGCTCGCCCGTGTCTCGCAACTCGGCAGTGAATATGTAATCGCCTTTCACAACGTCGGCTACGAAATCGACACTGCTGCCACTGGCCTGGTAAATAGTTGTGCAAATCGGACCATAGTTGAACTTGACATTGTGCACAGAGTAGATGGCGTCGACGGCTCCCTTGGCTAGTGATTGTAGCTCGGCGTCATTAGGTGCCTTGGCGTCACAAGAGTAGCCGTATGCTACAAAAATAGCAGAGAATTAGCCGCAAATAACAACACAGTTGGGAAGAAAGGGGGGGTATTGTATCGCGCCGCCTTACGTGTCATGAAGAGCTGCGAGTAGGCGTGCCAATCAATGTACAGCTTCAGCCCTTGCGCGTCCTTGACACCTTGGAGGAACTGAGAGAGAGCCTTGGTCTCGGGCGCGTCTCCCTCGCTCGTGCCCTTGAAGTCCTCGGCGCAAGGGTTAGTAGAAGCGCCTGGGCCCTCCCACTTGTACGGCCAGTTGCGGTTGATGTCGTGCCCGAGGCAATTGCTTCCCGTTGTCCTCTGGCGATTCTTGCGCCACATGCGGTTGGCTGTTTGGGTGTACTTGAAACCTGGAGGCATGATAAGCCCAAGTTGCCAAAGCCAGTTTCTAAAGACTGTCGGTGAATTCGCGCTGTTGCTTACCGTCGACGTTCACAATGGGGAACATGTAAAAGTCGTACTTGTCCACGAATGCGGTGGTGGCATTGTCAGAGCCGTACTTGGTGATGAGCTCGTTGGTCATGTACTCGACAACCTTGTGATCCGTTAGCGACTCCGGATGCCCGTGGTTGAGAGGGTTGGAAACACCAGGGGAACACTTTTACCATGGAAGCAATCCACTCTCGAGCGTGCACCGTCCCGTGGAAGACGACGGCAGGCTTCTTCCCGCCACCTGAGCTTCCAAAGATGTGCAAGCCAGTAATTGGGTTTCCCTCCAGCGTGTTTCCAGAGGTTACAACCTTGGCGTTTTTGGAGTACTTGGCGCCGAGGTCGTTCAGCCACTGCACATGGTCGTCGTAGCTGTGATACGAATCGAACCACGTATCGTTGGCGGATCCAGCTAGATGCCATGATCAAAACGGTGTTAATGACGCAAAATTTTCTCTCTCGTGCACTCTTCTCCCTCTCTCTCTCCCGACTCTCTCCTCAAATCACTCCCCCTGGCAGCATTCGGCAACGTACCAGCGTAGGTCATAAATGTTCCTTCTTGTGTGATGGACTTCCCGAGATCATCATGCATTGTAATGAGATCCTGGCCTTGCATGGCCTTCTGAAACTCCTCGAGCTGACTCGGCGCGACTTGGATATCGGCAAAGGCGCCCTTTCGCGTAGGCGGCTGCCAGGGAATCAGTTGAAGCCTGTCAATGACACCCTGGATGAGGGAGCCGTCGTCCGCAACGGGCACACGGAAGACCTTGTGTCCATCATAGGAGACTGTCGAGTCGACAGCCACGGCCGCGGCCGGTGCCAGAAACGAGGACAAAACAACAAGAGCCTTCATGACGCCGGTTCCGACTTTATTTTCTTCCCCAGTAAGAGGTCTGAGGCGCAAGCAAACTGTTAAAGAGTGTGAAGCGACAAGCACGCTTCAATAAATCGTGCGTGTCACGCACCGGGACCCAAAGGCAGGCATAGCCGGACCTTTTATGTGTCAAAGGGATCTCCTTGTGACGGCTAGTTCCTAGTGTCACAGGGCCAGGATCCGTGGTCTAGTTGGATCTGCAATCAGGCTTTGGAGATGGGAGTAAGTGCGTACTTTTCGGGGTGTCAATCGTCTTGCGAAACGCAAGCTACTGCCGTGTTGAGCAGGTCGGCAAACCAAACATCCAAGGCAACCTTCTACTTTGGGTAGACTGATTGCCGCTCGGCCTCCAGGACTCGCGACACTAAATATAGAATCATGAGACCCTCGCCATTACGCAGTGTCAAGCACGTCTCGCGGGTGCTGAGAACATGTATAAGCCTTGTGCTGGGTTTTGTCGCAACTACAACACATGTGCGCCGAGAGCTTCTGGCCGACCGCTTTGTCTCGATGTTTATGAAAGTTATCGATCGCTCATACGAGGTACAGAGGATAAAGGGACGACGCTAGTTGCTACTGGGCGATGAAACTGCTGATCGATACATGGTTGACCTGCCTAATCGAGACGGGGGACTGCATAGACAAGTTACAGATTGGAGTCATCTGTAGCCCAAACTGCGGGGATGTCCCCAAAACAAAAGTGCAATCAGTACGACTATGCTTCCGTCCTACGCTGGGCGTCATTTCGATTGGTCGCTGCGTCTGCGGGTGCCGCTGTGCATGACCTCGTTTGTGAGTCTGTGACAGACATGTTAAAGCCGCCAGAGTGTGCCCTGTTGTTCTATCCAGCACCGCGGTTGCTTGATGAACGGCTGTTTCTGCTAAAACTGTGGGTAGTCAGGGGCAAAAATGGACCCAAAGCAAAAGGTCCTCCCAGGTAAAACGCGTAGTATTGTGTTCTATGTGGTTCCAAGAGTCCGACATTATGCTGTCATGTATGTACGGTGATGCTCCCAAGGCTCTATCCATTACTGCTCCACGTCCCTTTCTGCAAAGTCATCGGATCTTGTGCCTTGTGGTTCCAATCTCTGTACCCAGCCATGACTTCCTGCAGGCTTCTGCCAGAGTTTAATTCTTCCAAGCACGTCTTTGCCCTGTCGACGCTCACAAACAAGAAGGCTATGTCCAGGGACACTTTGTCGAGCTGGCCAGCAATGCCCCTCTTGTCTTCCTCGTCAGCAATTGCCCGAGTCAAGCGCTGCATAACCTGCCATCCAGCCAGCACTTGGTCCCGTATCGTTTTGCTCTCCGTCTCATCCAAAGATTGCATCTCCTGTTGACCCTGCGTAATACGAGCTCGTCGCACAAACTTCTGCGGGCTGCGTCGACGCTGCGCCTGCTTCAAAACACCTTGCATGCTATATCCAATTGGCCCAACGACGGCCGATATTGACTTCAAGACCAATCCACTGATCCCCATTCCGGTTCCTTTTAGAAAGCCAATTGCACCCTCGTTCTTTGTTCCCTGAATTGGAAGGCGAACAACACCAGTAACACCGTCATATAAGCCATACACAAACTCCCTGCGCGATGCAACCAGGCCGGAGCGGATGCCAGTGACCCGCGTTGGCCGACGAACCGTGTCGTCGCCGTATAATCTGGGTGCATTGTGGAAGCCCTGCGCAAGAGCAACAACGAGATTAGTTGGAGCTCTAGCAATAGCCAACACTGTCTGGCCGACACTCTTGGATATGTCGACGGCATACTGATTCGGCCCTGGTACGGGCGTAAGAGACGTCTTGCGAACTTTCTGGCTCTTATTCGTTGTCGGCGTTATTTCTGGGGCCTTTTCATTGACCTGCTCGCCCGAGACCCTGTCGCCAGTCTTACTTCCTTTATTCTGCATCGTCCGCATGCGGTGCCTCACCCGCCGGTTCGCAGTTCTCCCAAGCCGAACTGGAGCACTTGCAATGCCGCCAAATATGTCTCGCAAAGAATTCTTCAGCGACTCGGCAACGGCTGTCACGGGCTCACCTGGACCTTCAAAGTCATTCCATTCCGTATGGCGTAGGAGTCGTAAATTTTTCCAACTCAGCTGGCCGCTTTTGACAAGTATTTGGGCAGCCAAAACACCCAGTCTGATATGTGTGCCTTTGACCTTCCAGACAGCAGCGCGTGCTTGAAGCATGGAGCAACTAAGACTCGGAGGGCCATAGAGTCTCAAGTGTTTAGTAAAAGAAGCGACTGTATTTTTTGCGCCATCTCCTTCTTTATTAATTGACTCGGCAATCTTGACTGCGGCAGACTTCGCTTCATCAGTAAGTAAATACTTGATGCCCTTGGCTAGCTTGTCAGACGTTAGATGTTTATATGGCACGGGTTCAGGACCAGCGCCAGACTTGCCCACCATACTACCCCAAAAGTACTGGTCGCCAAAGAAGGGCACAATCATAGTAGGGAGGCCGCATTTCAGGCCAATCGCGGTTGTACCTGCGCCCCCGTGGTGAACACAGCCCCTGACCTTTGGAAACAGCCAGTCGTGGGGCGTGTTGTCAAGCATAAAGACGTTGTCGGGGACGCTATCTCGGCCAAACCCGCCCCATCCTCTCGACACGAGCGCTCTGACACCAGCGGCTTCTATTGCATCAAAGATCATGTCTGTAAACCGCTCCGCATCGTCCACCACAATGGAGCCGAACCCAATGTATATAGGAGGCTCTCCTGCTTCGAGAAAGTCCACCAAGTCCTTTGGGGGCTGAAATGCGGAAGCAAGGTCGAGAAAGACGAATCCTGACACGTCAATTTCTTCGCCCCAATCCTCTGGCTTTGGCACTAAACCTGGTGACCACAGGTACGTGAACGGTACGTGCATACGGTACGTCGCGCACGGCGCCCACAGGGTCGATACGGGATCTAAAGCGAGAGTATTAACTCGAAAGTCGTTGACTAGGTCTCCTAGACCTTGCCAAGTCATTATCTCTACAAGAGGGTAGGATATGAAGTTCGTGTACCCCTGATCGACATTGGATTTCTTGATGCTGGCCAGGGGGTGTGGAAAAGCCTGGGTTGGTGTATATGGAAAGGTAAAGACCAAATGGAGAGGAAGACCCAGGGCCTCGGCGCAGTGAATGTGCGCAAAGCTAGGCGGATTAGCAATAATGGCATCTGCAATGAAGACGTCTCTCCCATCCATCGGTTTGGATTTAAGATCGGTCGTCTCATCTTCAGTGGCGTGGATGCAGGCCCTCCAGAAACCATCAAACATTTCCGCCATCGCTGCGCGCCGTCTTCCAATCTCACCAGCCTTTACAGTCTCGAGGGTTGGAATCATGCCCGGATTCTTTACCATAAACGCCATAAGCTCAGAAGGGTCTCCACCGACAGAGAAAAACTCCAGGCCCGTGTCCTTTTCAACAAGATCTCGAAAGACGGGGTGGGTGGCAATGCGGACGCGATGCCCAAACTCTTCCTTGATGTACTTGCCAATTCGGAGGAATGGCTGAACGTCGCCACGAGACCCGACGACCATGACCACAATGTTGAGGCGCGGATATATTACTGGGGCCGGGGGTATGGCCTTTGGCGACGTGCCAGTCTTGTTCCTCTTGGGCCGCATGCTGTGGGCAACGGCTCCAAGGGCATTCGCCAAGTAACCAGTGTGTGCCGTCTCGTGAACCGTAATGCATAGTCGACCGTCCCTCCTTGGCCGCCCCGTGCTTTTACAGTGCTCATTCATCATGAGAATCCTCCTCGCCAAGGGTTTCTTTGGTGCTCTGGCACCTGCGCCTGTGCTCCCAACACTTTTGGCATCGGCAGTAGGTTTTGTCCGTGGATGGTCGGTCGCGCCATCATCAAGGAAATCATCATCGGATGAGGAATCGGATTCGTCTCCGTCCCCAGAAAATTGTCCCATCAAAGGGATCCATGCTCTGCTCGGAATCGATTCGGCCCTCCCCCTTGTATCCCCGTACGTGGTCGTCTGCCACCTCTCGAGTGCTGAAGGTCTACGAGCCGAAGATCCATAGCCAGTCGGGAATGGCGCAGACTTCTTCCTCAATTGATCGACCGTTCCAGGCCGCGAGGGTACCTTGAGTTTGCCTGGAAAGCTCTGTGCTGCTGCTGGTGGCGCCGTAACATTTTTGCGAGACTGAGGCTCGTCGGTCGATGCCATTGTCATGGCTGGTTCGTCGGGGGTTTCGAGATGCGGCGGCGGCACGTCATTGTGCCTTGTATTGATCGGGTTTGGGTCTGTAATTTCCATTGTCCTCAGGCAGCGCCCGCAAATACAGCGCAAAAAACAAGCTGGATAGATTGGATATTGAGCCTAGTCAGCGTAGTTTGCCAACAGCCGCGTGTCTCGGGGTCCAAGGGCCACAGCCGGAAACATTTCAAAAAGAATGGATTCAATTGATGTCAAGCAGACTCAGCAGGAAGGCTTGACCAACATTAGGGAGTTGGAGATGATGCTTGATTTAAATGGCCTGAACGATGGAGCCGAGCGTCACATGGTGTGCCGAAGCTTAGCTTTGAGTCGAGGTGGCTGGTGGAGCCGACTGAAGAAGCCGTCATGGATAGAGCAACTGCGCATGTGCGTCAGTGAATGTCCAAATGTTCAAATGTTTCAATACTTCCAGGTTGCTATTGCGAGCCGAGAGAGATTGTGTTTCAATACTTCTCCAAACGCTTGGGTATCGAGTCTGTCCGCCATGTCGCTCAAATGTCTGGTTTGATTAGTAATCATCCCAGGTGCAAATTTCAATTTTCCATTCCATGCCAAGTGGTGCTACCCTATCATGTTGAGGCTATCTTATTAGGGGTGAGGCTGGGCCAAATTCTGCCAAGAAAGCATGGAAAAAGTAATAAAGCACTTGACTTATTATACTAAAATATGTAGGTATAAATAATTACCAAAATTGACGCAGTAGGATAAACCCAAATCCTTACCCTCACTCTCATTAGTATCTCTTAAGTGTACTTGGTATAGTGTCGGTGTGAGGCACAGCTTCTTGGCCCTCCACTTCGAGTCGCAAGATGCCATTCTTGAGAGTAAGGCTCGGAGACTCGAGATGGGTATGGCTAATTGTGGGAAGCTTAACTCAAGGCGGAGCGTTGTCAAACCGACCCATACGACCCAGCTTGCCCTGATAACTTAATTCGAGCGTAAAAGAAGGTAATAGGTATGACCTAGAGGATGAGAGGTGCTCTTGTATTCTCTAGATCCTTTTTCCTTATCATATTCGTGCATCCAAAGATCATTTTCGTCATCCATTTGCTGGGTAGCCGCACTTGTGTGAGAGAGCATAAAGGAGACTTGATTAGAAAGTTGGGTAAGCTCTCAGACATGGTTGGAACGGGACTGCTTTCACGGTAGGATTCTTAATGTCTAAGGATGTTAGAGCTCTCCAGTAGACGGGACAGATTTAGGAGCACAGACGTTCGATCCTCGCAGTGCCTGCATCAGACGATCTGGGAAACGGCCCTAGAGAATACCTCCCCATCAACACCACTCGCGGCGGACTCAAATCACAAGACAAAGTGGGCTAAAAGACGCGGTTACAAAGGATTATCTTAAGGCAACTGTAGTGTCGCAGCATTGATGACCATGCAATTATTCTTGGAACGTTTCAGGCCACGACACGTCAGGCTTGACCGCACGCTTGGTCTGTGTGAGAGAGGTTTGGAACAAAGAGCTTGGAGCAAAGGATTCAAACCAGTCTGACACGCCCATGGGCAAGAAGCCGCTCTTTGCGTCATCCAGCCTCTCTGAAGTTTATACATTAAGATTACGCTATCTTTGCTCACTACACTTCAGCTATCAGATACATTGACAGCTTTTTTTGCAGGCCCTTCCACAGTGATACCTACGAATTCGATGGATACTGGCTTTCGGGGCGAAGCCTCCGAGCATTCAGCAACAACATCACACCCAGGCAACAACGTCCAGACGGGTTGTTGGTATAGTGGGCTCAAAGTCATTTCCACCCTTGAACGACGTGGCATTGGTCGTGATAATGAAGCCCCAGATATCGAGTAATGACTATTTGTAGACATCAAGCAGCGCTTTGAAGCTAATCATTTCCTAGCATTGTTCACGTGACTGGGCTGCGTCGCGAAGCCGACAGGCTAAGCATTAATTCGATTATCGAGCGTGGTATTGCTACGCTGGTCAGAGAGATTCTGTTTCCATGCGACATGGCTCAGTTTCTTATTGATCTTACGCGTGATGCAGTCCATAACACGGCCCTTCGTCTGCTCAACAGTCTTGTATGTCTCGCAGACAAGGACGCATCGGTTAGTGAGAATGGATGACATTGCGAAAGAGACAAACCTAGGCTCACTTGTTTGCTGCCATAGGGGAGGACCCGAGAGCCAAAGCGAGCCATCATCTTCGTGGCCTATGACCTTGGGGCTTTGATCCTCAAAAAGGTAAAGTCTCGCCACTGGAAGCGATGATAACACGTGCAGAGTTAAACATTTTCGCCAGGCTCTTTCAATAGCAGAAAGGGATAGATACGAATGGCCAGACACTTTTACAAGCTCATCTCGAGTGGTATGTTAGTCCGAGTATTTAAAAAGAAGCAGTTAGTTAATTGGGTGTTTGCACAGGTATTCTGTGGCGCTCCACAGCGCAGTAATAGTCTCTTCACCATGGAATCGAAGTTATATGAGTTTCTCCATGACCACAAAAACGAACCCTGGTTTCATATGCTCACGCCATCATCCATTCGAGGGCTCGCTCAGGCTGCACTGGAGTCGACGGATGAGTTCCTCAGCTCAAAATTTACCTTGCGGGGGCGCATCGTAAGCTTGTACGCAAATTCTCGAACTCACCGCAAAATACATCCTGTAAGCCGCAGGGAATATATTCGTCATTGTCAACCAGAGATGACTGATGCAATTCCCGAAGCTCTTTGACGAGGCGATGGCGACTTTGGGCGTGCCACTCGAAGATTCACTGGACGATATGTCTCCCTTTCTAGCTGCTGAAATATGCTCGCTGGTTCACCGTAAGTGTAGCCCCTGCTTATCAACTCTCATGTCATGATCATTTACGTTCTCCTGAAGAGTGGGTGCCCGACCCGGATCAGGTTGCCGCCGAGCAAACACTCCTTTCGCTAGCAGTCCCTGATCGCCAATTTGAATATGTTTTAGGTAACGCACATGCTGCAAGAATATTGCTTAATCATGGCGCGGATCCTATGCTGGTTTGGGATAAAGAATGTCGTTCTACCTTGATGAGTGCTTCCAATGGGGGACATGTTGACGTGATTGAACTACTCCTCTCCGAAGCGCCCTCACTACTTCGAATGGGACACTCAACGGAGGCCCTTCATGACTTGGGTTCCAAGCAGCTGTGTACGCCACTTATCATGGCGTCGCTTACCGGGCATTGGAAGGCAGTGACAACTCTTCTCAACGCTGGAGCCGATCCAGACCCCGATACTGAGCACGAAGAAGAAGGAGGAGGTTCTTCGCTTTCTCCTCTTTGTTTGGCTAGCCTGAATGGATGGTTACAAACATCCAAAGCACTTCTTGAAAATGGCGCCGATGTAAACAGGCCAGGCGCTTATAACGAGGGCACCGCTCTATGGTGCGCCGCCAACTTTGCTGCAAGCGTTCCGTGTTGCCGGGCGCTCCTTGCTCACGGAGCAGATACGAGTACCGGGGGTCTACCTCTCATGATTGAACTCGTTACTTCGAGCATATCCAAATCAAAAAGACCTACCGAAGACATCATTCCAGTTTTGGAGGTATTCGTAGGCCACAGTCCACCCCTTGACATCAATGAGACCGATGCGAACGGTTCAACGGCTCTAATGCATGTATGCCAGGACGGCAGTCTTTCCATAATTAAATGGTTTCTTAGGAGCGGCGCAAATGTTGGGGCTGTGGACGACGAGGGCAAAGCCCCTTGTCCTATGCCGTCGAGGCCAGTCGCTTTGACGTGGTCGAGGAGTTGCTCAACTGGAAGCCGAAGCCGATCCAGGTAACCGCCACAGTCCTGCAGAGGGCTTTCGAAGGGGGTGATTTGACCCTGCTTGAGAGGCTTCTCGAGGCCGGAGCAGACCCTGACTCGCCCCTTGAGTCTGGCAGAACGCTCATGCGATTAGCTATACAGGCTCGTAATGCCCATGCTGTGGAGATGCTGATCAAGTGGAAGGCGGACATCAACCGCCTTGATAAATTTAGATGGAGCCCTCTATACTATGCCGTCGGCCAAGTCCACGATGCCAAGATAGCGAGACTACTAGTAGATTGCGGCGCCAATGCGAGTTATATACTCCCGGATACTGGAAGGAACCTTATGCACATGGCCATGGAAGCAGACTCAGACATTATCCGTATCCTGTTCGAATTTCCCAAAGCCGTCGATATAGACCACCGCGACCATTTTCGCAACACGCCTCTCATGATGGTGAACAACCCGAAGGCTGATTGCGTCAGCCTGTTAGTCAAGGCCGGAGCTGATACCAACGCTCAAAATTCGGATGGAGCCACACCACTGATGAATGCTGTTACGTACGGCGCGGCATCTGAAGTTATCGAGATTTATTTATCTCAGCCTCAGCTGGATCTAAACTTTTACTCAAAGTCCCACGGCAGCGCGCTGCACCTTGCTTGTCGCATGGTCAACGTCGAAATCGCTAGAAGGTTGATCAGAATTGGGTCTAACATCAACCAGCACCTGCCAGTCCCGGCTTGCTCGCCACTTATCGCCGCTTGTATGCCATTCAAAAATGTGAGCCCAGAGAAGCTGAGAAGCGCCGATCACATCGTGAGCGCTCTGATCCGCAACGGCGCTGATGTCAATTCCACGAGCAAGGCGACTCGAGACGCCTTTTATAATGCCCTGGCCACGGCTGCTTTCTGGAGCAGACCATCCACCCTTGAGATTCTCCTGGGTGAGGGCGCGGATGTCGATGCGCGGGATCCCCTAGGCCGACAGGCGATTCACTTTGCTGCCGCCAACGGTGTAAGCAACCTTCGCGCCGTGATGCGGTTTTTCCAGGGAAGCTCTGCGATAGCGGACAACTCCAGGAAGACGGCTCTGCACTGGGCTGCGCAGTTCGGGCGTTTGCAGGCACTGAAGCTTCTTTTATCAACAATGAGCCCGGATGAGCGGATAAGACAAGTTAACAAGCCTGATATCGACGGCTGGACGCCTCTCTGCTGGTCGATGCGGAACTCGCGCCTAAAATGGGACGGGATGTCCGAACCGTTTGAATACAAGGGCGTGGTTCAGTACCTCCTCCAGAAAGGTGCGGATGCGTCCATTCGGTGTTGGTTGGGCGAAGGCAAGGATAAAGAAAGCTTCACACTGCTCCATCTCGCCCATCTGCATAATGTCGATAAGGAGATCATTGCTCTCATCCGAGATGCCCTGAGAGATGGGACAGACACTTCTACATGGCAAAGAGGATTGGAAGAAGAGACTTTCAGCCCATATAAGCCTCGCATCTGGATTTGTGGCATCTGCCTCGGTGTAAGTTACTTGCGCTCCAGCTACGAAGCGTTTTCTGGCGCACGATGGATGGGCCAGTCATTCACGTCGCTACCTGTCGCAGCGTGCTACGTATTGTAGAACTTCGCTGACTCATACTTGTGTTTGTACCTATAGCAAATCTATGGACTCGACTATGTTTGCAAGACGTGCGCAGAATTTCACGTTTGTAAAAAGTGCCACGGCCGTATAGATAGGTATCACATGCATTTTGAAGATGATAATGGGCCGTTGCCGCCGCATATCTTCGAGGTCGACGATGATGTGGAGTTTATTGACCCGTTGGATGTAGTGGCCACAGGGAAAAATGCGAATAGTAGGACGAGAAACGAAGACGAAATGGACATTGACGAGAACGAAGCTGGCATTAATTGGCGGGTTGACGAAAAAAATTTCTGGGAATTTACTTAATATTAGATATAAAGCCTTAATACTAGCTGTGTACTAACTCTGCTATATCTGCTTTTGTATGAATAGTAGTGAAGATGAAAAGATGAGCGTAGACAATGTGAATTACCGTCACGACGTGTGCCAACTGACTCCTTTTTGAATTCAAGACCAGCATGTCATAATCAGCTATGGGGCCGGGCCGGACTCCGCCGAACGCGGGGCCGAACGCGGGGACCCTTGTAAGTGAAGCTGATTCTGCATGGAATAAAGCCGTCCGAGTGATCCTCGGCGGGCGGTTTATATCTGTTATTCCAACTTCCGTGCTCTCTGTACCGGGCTCATAGGGGCCCAACTCATCATTCTTTTTCCCACCTTGACATGAGCGAAGGCTCCCTCCCGAACCTATATATTGACCGTTGTGCTACGAAATCCCGTCGATGCAGACTGCCTTCACGACTGAATCAATTTACCTCCATTCGAAAAAGATGGCCGCAACTGGAACGAGCAGGATCTCTCTTGTGCGTCCGGCCTTCGTAACTTACATACACAAGAACATCGTCGAGCTTGTCGCTTTCTAGATTATTTTGGTCTGGTCAGGTGCGGTCAAACGGGCCACAAGTTCCTGTACCGCGGCTATGGCGTCGATCCGTGGGTTTACTCTGCATAGAAAGGTGATAGTGATGGATTTGGCGGAGCCAGATTTGTGGTGAAAAGCGAACAAGATTTGAAGCTTGCCAGCCGCATCTTCCCCAACGCCTCAGAAGTTCACAATCTCGCTCCTCCTGGCGGCGGCAAATGCGTTACTTTCAGGGATCCAATGGACGGGTTTCTCTTTCATCTGGTTCGCGACCAGGTCCTCAATAATAAGCCCAGCCCTCCTTCTCCTCAATTGAGGTTTAGTTTTATACGCCTTCCCCTCTACGGCTTTGACCACTTGCAGATATTCTAATTTCATCCTTCTAGCCAGCCAAGAAGTGCCGTTTTATAGAGACCTAAAGATTTTGAAAGTGGTAGCCATGAGAGACCTGCCTCTACCCCCTCTACGCTACTAGCCTCAATTCTGTCCTACAGTTCCAGCTCCTGTTCATAAACTGTGTCATCTTTGGACTTTGCGTGACAAATTTCGCCGCATTCCTTGAATAATTCGCCACCTATTTCAACTTTAGACCCAGCGATGTGCGTATCAACATGGACCAACTTTGCAACATTTACCACGCCAACTTGTCCGCTCACTTCATATTTGGCGAGAATAGTCGCAACATCACGGCGTTCTGTCGGTTAGACAGGGGCCTCATCCCCGTTGCTCATCACTGTTTCATTTTCTTCCAATGGCCCAAAGTACACATCCATCATGGCTCCTTTGAAACCCGTGACTATCACATTCAAACAATTAGACATGACTAGCTGCGTGATAGAGGGTATACTGAATGCGGGGGAGTTGGGGGACATGTGGTTGGAAGTCAGATTTTTGATTATTGGTGAGGGTTTAGTCTTTTCTTTCCACAAAGCTCAGGCTTGCTGATACTCGGCGCCTCAAGGTTTAATCGCTCGAGTTTTATTGAGCATTATGCAGACGGCGATTTATTCGACAATATCGTGCCCGCCAACAGACTCTCGTCTGTCCTAACAACTTCCACATCTGGGGTAAGTTCAAAAGGCCCAACACATAGTCAATAGCTTCATGGTCATCAGGCTTCTTACGAGCTGACTTTATCTCGGAGGCCAGTAACTGCCCGTCAAATTTTTGGACCGAGTCAAGGTGATGAGCGGTCTGATTGGCAATCGATGCTTTGTGAATTGTCTAAATCCTAGATTTCGAATGGAAATTATGTGGTCCTTAATACTGGCTTGATCCTCGTCTACTCTCCTTTTAGGGCGAAACGCGGTCATGTAGCGGGCTAGTAATGGATCATTTCTTTGAAGAAGAAGACTTCAGGAAACAAAAGAGGCGAAGTAGGGTTCTCTCCATCTACACTCAGCCATGTATCACAAGAATTGATCTGTTATAAATGCGTGTTTTTTTAACTGTACTATTGTCCGTTCCACTCAAGCTTGCTTTCTTACATGTTCCCTAACATCTATTCCATGCTATAGATCGAAGGATCGGCAATGCATGCCCTACTAGGGATTAAATTATAGTCGTTCACAGCGATTAAATCTGCCAACCCCCCGAGTGCCAGAAAATTCGCAGGGGCATGCAGGCGGTGCGGCCTCAACAAGCCTATAACGCCGTATTTAGCAACGCTATACACAAACATTCCCGGAGTTTCTTTAAAACCTCCACGAGTGCTCAGCAAAGTCAGACTCTTGTCAGAAACCACTCCAAAAGAAGACTGAATTCAAGTATCTGAAGCGGCATATACTTTACCAGTTTGGTAGGTGTGGCATCCTGGGTGAGTTTTCCCACAAGGTCCGACCCAAGAGAGATTAATACTACTTTTCAGAGAGAAGATAGCTTAGAACTATTGTTCGTTCGTTAGGGTGGAGCAAAGGCATTAACAGCCCTATGCTTCCGCCCGACTGCCATGCATGCTCAGCCTTGTTCAGATTTAACACTTTCCACCGCGCGGTTATTCTTTCCGGCAATATTCAACACCTTGGCTCGAAGATCCGCAAGCGGATTCTCGTAGACACCACGAGGCACAGTGTTGTAATTATTGCATGGCTGAGCGGCAGCAGCTGTTGCGATCACATGCTGTCCGCCATTGCCCATATCATGTTTGAGCCCGTTACATGAGTAGCAATAACGTGGTTTCCACCATCATTAAGGTACTGATATTAATAGAATCGATACATCGAAATGGGATATCGCAAGGTTCTCTGTCTTGCCTGTCCCACTCCCAGAACTTGAGGCGAAAGTTGTATTCGCACCTCCCCCGTAGTGTCTTTTACAGCACAGCGCCGGGAAAATTTTCTGTGAGTGCGAATGTCGTTCCTGCTGATGACATAGCCGCCCCTGGATCGTCAGTAGCCGCCACCAGCGGGTATAAAAGCAACCTATGTCAGCTCGAGATTGGTATAGGATTCGGTGTTATTCAGTCTTGATATTAGAAAAAGTGCCGTCAATTACGCGTAGCAGGTGGCAGTCGCGAATATTCTCACCTTGCGTATAGGGGTTTAGATGCTGGCCGTATTCCCAAAAATGAGTCAGGGGTAAGGCTATTCGCCGAGGCAACCCCAGGCTAGGCGAATCATCCGTCTTTTTAACTTTGGGACCCGGTCCATTGTTGAAACCTGGATAAATGAGTTGACCACTGAGATCGGAAAAGTCCTTCGTAACCTCTGTTGCCCACGGCACAATGGGGAAAGGCACGGGCGAGTCAGTATCCTTGGTGCGGAAGAAAACGGTATTCCCGTGATGTATATTGCTGCCCTTCGCTGGCGTCATGCCTTTGCCGTACTCTACACGAGAATCTTCGCCATAGAGCGTCTTGGATCTAGATAGAAGCCCAAGGAAACATCTTGCAGAGCAGTCAATAAAAATTGATGCGAAAAGACGAACTTCTCGCCTGGCCTGAACATCGCGAGCATTAACAGGGGTGATCTTCGACCTCGACACGACTATGTCAGCGACAGTCTATTCGGGGAATATGGTAACATTAGGCTCAGCCTCTAGCAGCTGCGGCGCTTTCAAACCACCAGTAAACGTGCGCTTGGAAATCTTTTCGACCACTAGCCCAATGATGCCACGTGGGCTAAGTCCGATCTCTAGGCTCGCATTGCCTCCCAAATAAGGCCGGTTATGGATGAGAGCCACGCTTGGGCTCGACTGGGCTGCTGTCAGAACAGCAGCGGCCCCCAGGATGCCGCCTCCGAGCACGGCGAAGTCGAAGATTCCTACAGATCCCGGCGTATCGGGCAAGCCAAGGAGTTGGCGTCGCCGTGATCGTGCTACGCCGTCGGTTCTCAGTGGAGGAGGTGCCTTGTCACGGCTGCAGAAGATGGCGTCACAGCGTCCGTAGGATCCTGTGAGATCATGCAAGGCAAGCGTTATCTGGCCTGCAGGAAGACTCACTGGGCCGGGAAATTCCCAGAACCGGTCCTTATTATTGTCGTCAAATTCTGTATCCAGCGTTCCCCCATTAACTTCAACCTGAAGTATGCCGGGGTGATGCCCAGGAACCCAGTCTTTAGGTCGAACACAGAAGTAATACATACCACCAAGCGAGATAGAGATACCCGTTGAATCATCTGTGACTGGTTTTCGTGAGCTAACAGGTACGGTGAACCCATTTCGTTCTCAAACTGCGAGTCGAGAACCCGCCCGCCAGTCAAAAGATTTAGCCTCCACCAGAAACTTGGGATCCAGAAACGCCATGCTGTAGATTGTGTTCTAACCCAGAGCTTTCTGTTAGCGCATACTTGGCCTTACTAGAAAACCGTCAAGCTGTGGAACGCTGGGTGAACACGCTATCATAATCAGAACTACGCGGACACGGAGACTTAGTCTTTCTTCGTTTCGTAGGAAGGCCTCGCAAAGTAATTTTAATTTAACGCTAAATATCCCTCCGCAATGAGGATAAATTAGCTCACAGTGTTCATTTTTTTGGCCAGCTCTACGGTGGATTTCCGGCTAGTGTGTCTGACGTATGGTGATGTGTGTACTCATGGTGTCTTGCGTGCTTAGTTACGGTTCCCTGGCCTGGGTACGGTCAAAATACAGTGTTACTAGATGCCCTTCATTTAGCCCCCCCTCTTTTTTTTTCACAATTTAATAACGTCAAATATTTATAGAGTAGTGAATCCCGAAAAGGCTATGCTGATGAAGAAATATTATGAGTCTATTATCAAGAGAAAGATTCTATCCTCGCCAACTTGCAGGCAGCCCTTCACTAGCACTATAAATGCACCCTTCAATGCCAAAAGCCACCGCTATTCAGAAAGAATTGAGTCATCCCGAGAATGATATTTTGGTATTTTAAACTTTCTGCCATGAACCATATATCAAGCCCGGCCAATCAGTAGGGTACCAAAGACTTGAGACATAGTCCAGATTGTTCTGCAAGGAGATGTTCCAAAAGTCGAGAATCAAGAATGAAAGCTGAATGTGGCAAGAGACTTTTCGGTGCCAAGGATGGTACACCGCTGCGGTACTCAAGCACAGTTGTATCCTGCCTTTACGGCTGCCTGTCGGTGAGAGGCTCACTCAAATCTTTCAGGCGAACCGAGCGACTCTACACCCAAGGCCGCCTGGATCCTGCGACAATGATATGTGCCAAGTCATTACTGGGGTCAACTGTGTAACAAGGCCTGTCCTCTTCACGCGACCTAACCTGGCCCAAAGAGCTGCGTCGTCAACATTTCTGTCGCCTTCACCCACACAGAAGTTTCAGCATGCTTTCATAGTCGCAAATGCCGAATGGTCCCTGCGGTGCGATTTATTCTATGACGTCTTATTCTCAGTGCCATCAGTACTCGTCTTCTGCCATCTGTATGCTCTTGCGATGCCCTGTCTGCTTTGCGCAGTATCACACAGCTTCTCATTTCCGCATTCACAAGTAGCCCCTTCCCGCAACCACCGATACGTGATGCTCCAGCGGTCTTGCCTCGGCCGCACCGTTCCGTCAGGCAATGTGTCTGTCTTGCGGGCTCTTATACCATGCGTCCAGTGTAATCTTGAATCACCACTCAGCTGTAGCAGGCTCCTCGGTGGCAAGTCCACTTCCACCTTTTTGCCCGAGTCGCCGTCGCGAAACTGCATGCATACCGGGGAACCTAACGACAGCGAATAGAGCTGATCGTATGCGCTATGTGTGTCGACGTGAGGAGGGATGCCGGCTCCGGGGGGATAATGCTGCAAGCAAACCTGGTCGGGCTGCCTGTTCTCTTTTTGCGGCAGCAGCGGAACTAGCCAATCAGGAAAAGTGTTAAAGGGGACATCATGGTCAATCCCAAACGTCTTGTAACTGAAGGTGTAGCCATAATGAAGAGACCGGCGACCGGGCAATGTTGGCCACTCGAGATGTGCGAAAATTTTCAACAGTTCACGTTCGGCTTCTGGTGAAATGAAGTCTTCTTTCATAAAAAGGCCTGAAGGTTCAGTAGGAAGCTCCCCCATGATGAGCTACAACACTCAATCATCGAAATAGATCTCTTTGTCATCGATGCTGTGTCGACCGAAGTCGAGTGTGACTCTCTGGTTTCAGTAAACTTCCAGATGTCCTTGAACCCACAATGTGATTATGTAATCATTCGATGACTGTGGTTCATATCCCATAGGCTAACCCTAACCCTAACATTGACCACTTACCCTAACCGCTAAACTCTTGGGGGGAGGGGTAGTATCGGGTGAGCACCCGCACCTAATATCATGTCTTCACGTCCCTCTACCGGGCCCGCAGGTGCGATCAGAGTTGCCTAGGAGGGAGTCTGTTAGGTGAGAACGTTATGGGCAGGATAACCCCGCTTTGACATTCCGCTGCTTCCCGCTCTCGTCGAAACTCAACAGCGTATTAACGGCTGGGGACATTGCCACCTAAACATGGCAACAAAAGAGGAGAATCTCAGCGCCTAGTAATCTTGGTAAGTACATGGCGTTTTACGGCTTTCTAACACTGCAGGTTTTGACTGACGGCATGTATAGTGCATTCACTTCTTCACGACCATGTCCAACAAGATTAGTCATGCTCGAATCGAGGAGCTCCAGGACAAACTCCGGCGGCGAAATAACATCGAGGCCGAAATCCAGACAGTGCAGGCAAAAATGCAGGAATTAAAAGACAAAATATCCAACGAAACTGAAGCACAGCTCTTGTCATCATCGACTGCAGTAAGGGCAGCCCGCCAAATGGAATCGACATCCCTTAGCTTACAAGACGAGGTAGATGCACTTGATATCAATATTAAGAGACTGAAAAAGGCAAAGGCTGAAATTCAGGACGAGATTGATCTTCTTAGAGGGTGGGGTTAGGTCGGAGTCTCAACCAGACAGCAGCTATCACAATCGAAGCCGCTACAGTCAAACCGAGAATGCCAGCAGCCGTTGGGATACATTGTTGGACATGAGCTCTCCTATCAACGGTCGCCGGCATTGCCGCATCTTTTGCGTTTCCTTCTTCATAGTTATCAGAGTTACGTAACAAGTCCAACTCTCTGCAATATTTGCGGTGGTCTTGTTCCTTTATATCTGCGAGCAAAGAGCGCAAAGGGTCCTCGTCAGCAAATGCCGACAGAGTGTCGTTGGCGCTGGACGCTTCCTTGCTGGCCAAGTATCGATGGACAAACCAATCCACGTCGGTCCAGTTTTCGAGAGCATTGGCGACCAACGGTTCGGCGTATTCCGTTCGTCTAGTCCATTCATCGTAGAGTAGATTATTTTTAAACAATTCCCCTTCCCGCGTCTTAACTTCCGCTAGAAAATCGGCAAACGGTCCCTCAAGAAAGAGCTGCCATGAATTAGGACCGGCTAATTGGACAGTACTTTTTCCGCTAAGCCAAAAAGGCGGTGCGAAATACTGAACCGGCACGACACGACTCCATTCCCAATCAAGCACGCCAATAATCCGCATATCATGATCAACTAATAGATTTGACAAGTGCAGGTCGCCATGGACCAGCACAAACGGCCCTTGATCTAGGTCAGGGTCCACCCACTTTTGAACATGCTTACAGAACAAGAAATGGCTGTAGAGGCATTCTAGGCCCATGCCGATTGCCACAGCATTCCGACTCTTCAGAAAAGCGTTGTACCCAACGCTTAACAGCATTCTTGTGTATGAATTAGCGGATTTTAGGGTCCCAGACTTGTCATGGTGAGAATCTTGAATGCTAAAGGGGTCTAAGCCCTCGAGTTGCATCATATTCATCTCAAGCGATGCCGTCTTTTCACCGATGCGCACCCCGCTTGCTCCTAGCTTAAGCCTGCCAATTGAGGGGAACTCCTGCCGTCTTAGTTGCACAAAGACATCTGCTAGTGATTTGTATAGCTCGGCTTTTGGGTCTGGGGGTAAGCGACGAAATTCGGCTGGCGAGAGCAGCTTTCCATCGATATATTCGAGAATCATGAATGTAGATAGAGGATCAGCGCCACTGTCTGCACAATAGGCCAGAACTTTTGGGACTGGGATTGTGGTGCTTTCTGACAAGTGTCTGATTCTGATAAGTAAATGCCATGACATGGATAAGAGGGATAAGGGTGCCTACTGCATCGTGGCGACTTCGCATTGTAATTTGAGACGGGGACAGTATGCTAGACAGGGCCGCAACGGTACGCGGAAGACACATTTCTCCCCGTCGGCGAACCGGATAAAGAATGAGACGTTGTAGCTTCCGCGGGCATGGTAATCACCAAGAGCAGTCGATTGGAAGAAGCTAGCGGACGGCTTCCCGCATTTTGTCGACGCGAGTTTGAGAATGTCCTTCTCGCGGCTTCGTAGTTGATTGACGAACTGATCGCGCTGGCGGTGAACCGAATGTTGTACTATTCCATCCTTGAAATGTTGTGCTTTGCTCATGATTTATCCACAAGCTCTGGTACAATTTGAAACGAGTGCCATCTGCTGGTACTTTCGCAGAGAATTGAATGTCATCGGTTTTGGAAGAGGTGCAAAGGCCCCTTGCAAAGGAGGCACTGCGTTTATGGCTCGACCCCGGCAAAACGTAACTCCGAAAGTACCGATATAAGGTACTTACGTACTCGGCCCCTGGTTGTGATTTGCTCGGGGTGCGTTTTACCCCACTACTGACTAATAAATTTAACGAGAGTGTACTTTGTAGATGACCCGACCATTGCTCGCCTACCTGACCTGACCCGACCCATTCCCAGGAGTTTGGCGGTTAGGGTTAGGGTTAGGTATAAGGGTGAGCCAAGGGATATGAAATTTGAATAACGAATTAGGTGAGACCAGTGGTCAGGTAAGCAATTATAATGGTCGGGTCAGGTCAGGTAGGCGAGCAATGGTCGGGTGGTATGCATTCTCAAATATTAAAGTAATTAATTAAGTATATAAATGACGGAGTATAACTACGCGGCGTGTGTCCTAATCAATGACCGCCAGCTCGGCCTTATATACATAAACAGACGGGGTACAGGATGATCAGAAAGGTATTACGCAAATATGCAAGAATAATATCGGCCTGGGATATTCGTTCCATTGGCATATCTGCCAGTTCGCCTCAAAATTGCCAAATGGTGTTTGGCGCTTAATCCTACTTCACCAGCCTCCTGACGGCTAATTAGATGTGACAAGGATTCATTAGGGGGCTTAAAGCAAAAGGGCTCAATTCAATGATAATCTTGTAGGATGTTAAAGGCCCTTGGTTTTCCCAAGCCATGAGGCGAGGGGGGGCCCATCTATATACATGAAAGGAACGGCTCGTGCCTAGTGTGCCCCATAGTTCTCGTAATCTTCTTGTGTAATAAAGGGCTTCTAATCCTTGCTTGACCTAATCCGTGTGACATTAGAGAACTTCGAGCTCAGCTTCCTGTACCTTTCCCAATACTTGATGATCTCCAGAGCATTCCAGTAACGCTTGGTTGGCCAAATGTCACCTCTTTGGCGGCCGAACTTGACATCTCGTCGAACAATGTTCTCCTTCGCCAAAACGTCGCTCTGGCACTTACCCGCTAAATTAAGACCTTTAATTCCTCAGGATGAGGTGTGTCTTAACTATAACTCGGCGGCGACTTTCTACCCAGTATAACCCGGGGAAGTATTGGCCAAGAAATTTCAACTACTTGTCAAAATCGGCTGGGGATCATAATCAACCGTGTGGCTCGCCCGAGACATTTCCAAGTACCTACGCGCAACCGTAACCGCGCTTGCTTATTTCATGTTACCGAGAAACTAACACTGGTCCTCATAATTAAGACTCAAATGGCAATCCGAAAAAACAGTGGCCCTGAAAAATAATCAACAGTAACAATGTCCACGAAGCTCGTCATGAGAAGGAAATTGAAAGCCATGTCAGACAGCAGAATCCAGAGCATCGTGGCCATGTGATTCCACGGACATGCCTGGATGACTTTGGGGTAACTGGCCTAGAAGGAAAGCACATGTGCCTTATCTATGAATTAATGAGGGAGCCCATCTCGATTTTACAGAAGCGTTTTATTGATCACACACTTCCTTTGCCTATTTGCGAAGGCCTGTATCTACTTCCTCCTCGTTGGCCTTGATTATCTTCACTCGGAGTGCAAAGTGGTCTACACAGGTCAGTGCTTTCCGTGCCTATTCTAGAACATAAAGACCTAACCTACCTGTCAGATCTTAAGCTGGGATATATCCTTATTTGATTTGAAAACGAAAATGTTCTTACCAACTTCATTCAACGACAACAACCAATGCCATGCAAGGTTGATGATGAGAGTGGTCGGACTATCTACCTCTGCCATAATGACTTGGGTGCTCTTAATGGCAGAGAAATCAAGAACACGGTTTCTAAAATAGCGGATTCCGGGCTCGCAACAAGACTCGACAAGACATTTACTCGGAGTGGAATGGTAGGAGAGCAGCTTGGCACTTATTCTATCCTACCAGATTATTACCGCGCTCCAGAGGTAATCCTTGGCTGCGGTTGGGATTTTAAGGCTGATATTTGGAACTTGGGTGCACTAGTAAGACCCCTGTTCCTGTTTTCTGGAGGTGAATCTATAATACAACGAGAATTTTGTTCACCTTTCTTTTAGTTGTATTCGCTGGCTTAGGCTTAATGCTAATAATCCTGTCTGGTTAGTTGTGGAATATTCTTGGTAGCAAGGAATTATTCCAGCAGGTACCGTTGACATGATATAAATGGCCACTATGACGCAAATTCGCACCTCGCGGAAATAATTGCGCTACTCGGCCCGCCCCCGCGAAATCAAAGGCCATGTCAGAGCAAAATTGGCCGCTAGCTTCACCCGGCCATAAATAGCGTTCGGAGACGCCACCGTCCCATCAGGATACACGTGCGCAGATGTCATTTCCACAAGATCGGGTCACTCTAGAATAACAAGTATATTAATTATGAAAGCTAGATATAGCCGCAATAAGTATTCTTATATATCCTAGTTTTTTTACCCCCTGGTTTATTCCGATCTGGAGCATACCTAATTAGGGCTATTATTACTTTTTACTACTTGGGAACCGATTTCTTGCTGCACATCTAGTACGTCTAGCTCCTCTCCTTCTTCATGAATGTAAATGGGGCGCCATACTGACACGGTTGACTCGTTTGTTTCGCCGTAAGGATATCGATGCCGATGACTACCTTGATATTGCCGTTGGAGCGTAAAATATAATCCCGAGCTAGATTCCGCAAAATTTTCCCCCTTTGTGCGTAGGAAACCTCCAGCACTACACCGGGATACGCTGTGCCACAGAATTGAAATTACGCATCCGGTTGACGTTGTAGCAAAACTTTTGAATCCGCCGATTCTTCTTCGGAATCGCCCTCCCTCAAATATATACGAGATGATCCTCCATTTGCGATCTGCTCCGCAAATTCGCCAGCGGCGTCTTCGATATCTGCGATACACTGGAGCTGTTTACATATCTCAACCGCAATAGAGCTGGCGACAAAAATCGTGCACCGGAGTCGGCATGCGAACACAGACAGAGCTGAGAGGAGCCCTGCTGGTGGATCGTGTCTGTTAGCGGTGAATCGTTAAGCGGCCAGGGTGTCTATAGCAGGAGACGTACCGCACTTTGTCGCTGACGTATTCCTGAAGTGATCGGTCGCGCTCAAGTGCTTTTAGCAGTTGTGGGTACTTCTCAGGTGGTGAATATATTGTTTTCTGTCCGTCGTGGGAGAGTTCGGGACGTTTGTTTTGTACGTCCTCAAATATCGCTACAGCGTTCCAACCCAGCGAATGACTGGCGCCGCTCTGAAGCAGGAGGGGTTAAAGGAAGGCAGACATTCCTATTAGGAGGAGTGTTTTCATGCGCATCTGAATTGCAGGACTCCTGCATAGAACTTTCGGGTACGGCCACAGACTTGGCCATGTCGAGCCAAGGCGAGTCTTTGAGCGGGCCCGGAAAAAGAGCATGCCGGTAACCACGGCCATCTTTGATTTGACTGTCAGATGACTGTCAGTCAACCTCTTCCCACACCAGGTCCTCGACACGTTTGACTTTCGGATATTCTTGCAGTACAACGGTATGAAGAATTGATTGTTTACGCCTTATAACTTCCTTAGCCTTCTATAAGGTCGAAATTGACACAAACCTCGACAGGAAATGAAAAACCCACCCCGACGTCTCGGCTTCCTTTCTCCAACTTAGGCTAATAGACGACTCAATGGCTCGCCTGATGATTCCATCGATCTTACGGCCAGAATATACCTGGCCGCAGCGGATGCAGTCTGCAATCCGGCAGACCACCCCTCACGTACCAGTTGGACCCGGCAAATGCACCAGAATATTCTGGAGCATCATTCACAAGTTCCTTTATTACTTCTCGCAATGGTACTGCTCTTGGTTCGGTCTACTATTCGACGCAAATATTGTTCAATTACCATTTGGACTTGTTATGAAATGGACGGACCGGACGAGCGTCGAGCAAGCCGTCTCAATGCAAATGGCAAGATCTGCCGGAATGCCTGTACCCAAAGTCATCAGCTGTGGTGAACACCTAGATGCGCCTTTCAACCGAAGATTTTCTATCTTGATGACAAGGCTACCTGGTGTACCTCTTGAGAACTCGAATGATGGACTACAGGTTGATACAAAGGAGCCGTGGCTAGAGGAGTTGAAATTATGTATCACCTCTATGCGATCGTGGCATTCTCCAGGGTCAGAGACGATATGTTCTCCTATTGGAACCCGCTTACGGAGCTCACGAGTTCCTGGGCACATGATGGGTCCCTTTTCCAGCCTGGAGGCTTTTTACAACTACCTTTTCGCCCCGGCTTCCGCCCATGCATTCAAATCCGACACCGAATACCAAAAGACTCTGTCACGCGCAAAAAGGTTGCAGAGCCATAAACATAGAATTGTCTTCACTCATGGGGATTTCAAAGCGCACAATATTCTTGTCGATGATGATGGACATTTATCTGGGTTTCTGGACTGGGAATCCGCAGGCTGGTATCCCGAATACTGGGAATTTACTACGGCTATGCGCTTTGGGAGAGACAGCTGGTGGTTCCAAGTTGCCTCTTGGATGGGTGGAACACAATATTGGGACGAGTTGGACTCCGATGTGGCTCTAAATCTATTAACCGTCGACTCTTATATAGCCCTTTAGTGGCTGGGGCTTCTCGACGTTAAGTTGGTAATTTAAAGGTTAAGAGGCTTGCAGGCATTGGCCAGATGGATTTAGATAACGATCGCGAATTATAAACAAGAGAGCAGAAAACAAGACAAATATAAGCAGCTCCTCTGCTCAAGAACGTACGTTCCCTCCCTAATTTACTTTCACAAACACAAGGTTGATCTAACTACAGGTCGTGGCTGGGTATTGCTCGCTGCCCCGGAACTGTATTGGTTTCCGAAAGCCATACATTCCTGCTGCAAACCATCAATATTACTTCAGTGTACTATCCCTTGTCGATCCAATTCGCAAGATGACCATTAGCCATACTCGGCAGGTCACACCAGGAATTGAGTTGACGTCTCCGTCGCGAGATCTCATAATCTGGTCGAGAGGGCCATGCTTTCCGAGTGGGACGTTTGCGATCTCGATAAGGACGCACAGAAAATTGGACTTGAAACGCCTCCGGTTGGGCCATGGTCCGGGATCCATCCCCCGCCCAGGTTTTTCATATTTCAACCCTCCCTGGGCGCGAGTGTGAAAGTCATTTGGCTGGGGAGGGTCGGATCGTATATAAAGAACGATGAAGAGTGTGTTTAGAGGCAATCGAGCGAGCGCATCTTCCAGGGCCTTTTTGGTGACCAAGGCCCGCTCTCTAGGAGTCGCTGGTTTCTGAACGGCCTGCATATGGAATAATCGGGGGAAGCAGGCGGATCAAAGAGGACTTGGAAGAAAATGATGATCGCTGCTATGATTGGCTTAGGGGTGGGAAGACTGAAGATGATTCCCAAGTTTATATACACGGGCAACGGGCTCACTTCAGTAGCATACAGCCTTCTTGGCACACTAAGATACAGCTCCGAATAGACGTACTGGTCCAGTCATCGAGCTCAACGAACGAGCAGGCTCCGGTCACAGAACTGCCATGGCTGGACGCGAGCCGGAGAAGCCAAAGGACATGAAAAATGGTACCGTGTACGCGAGATTTTGAGATTAGGAGATGAGCGAACTAACCGTCGACAAGTCCGCGACTTGATTCACAACCACATCGTCGTAAATAGTGCCCGGCACCTAAACTGGCGGGACCCTGGCTCAACAAACCATGGCTTCAAGGGATTTTGCAGTGTACTGGTCGCCTCGTCATTTGTACAGAACTCGTTGGACCTGCAGCTGCGGAAACGGCGAACCCGCGCAAATCGCTGCCTAGTGCCATTAGTCAGCTGTTCTGGAGGATCGCCAAATTCTGCATCGTTTCTTTGCTCCTAGTTGGATTACTTGTTCCGTATAACGAACCACGAATCATTGGCGGAGAAAGCTCTGTGGGTGCATCAGCTAGCCCGTTTGTTATTGCTGTCGAGGGCGCGAGCTCGACAGTTTTGCCGAGAGTCATGAACCTAGTCATCCTGACTTCTGTGCTCAGCGTCGGGAATTTCGACAATTTTCGGGTCCTCTAGCATACTGGCGTCTCTGGCGGAACAGTCTCACGCGCCAAAGATGCTCTCATACGTGGATCAAAAGGGCAGACCGCTGATGGCTATTCTCCTCGCGTCTGCGTTTGGCTTGCTGGCCTATCTCGCACTTATTTTCGTCGCGCTTGGGTAGCTGATGGCCATACCCTTGACCAACTTCCATTTCGGTCCCAGGCGGGTGTTGGTTCCTTCGTGGCTGTTTCGATCGGGCTTACACTTGGTATTTCTCATAAAATATGGTTCCACTGTTGTTGGCGTTGAAGGTATTGACATTGACTCGGGGCGCAGCTTCTCCAGACTACACAATATGCATGCACATAGACTTCGAAGTGGTCCGTCAGACGTGGCTATTGTGGAAGACGTGCTACCGGTCGCTCTGCCAGAGCAATGTTTACAGCATAGAATTGATGGGGAGATTTGTGCAAGCTTTGCCAATTCTGTGGCTACAGGCACTAGACAAAACCCTTCATAATAACGAGAATGACGTCTCATATGTCCATGACCTGATTCACAACGGCGGACCCGACAAACCACAGCGTCACGGCACGACGGGGGGTGGCTTGCCGCTAAATCTGTCACTTTTAACATCGGTTATAACGTTATTCACTACCAGGCGTGAAAGGCTGCGAGGTAGTATCGTACGTTGGGCTCTGGGTTTCGGCTTGAACACTCTCTCCTCTTTGATGAACATGGACATGCAACAACAAGTCATCATGACTTTTCTTTGAATCAATCCCTCTCAAACGCACGCGGATCGGTCGCAAGAAATGATTCCTACACGTCGCCACCACGGCGGTGATGCCGCGACGCCAAACTCAATTATCCACCAAGGTGCACATGGTAGCATCCGCAACTACCGACAAAATGACACAGCCAGCAAATCCACGGCACCGCTAATAGTACGCGGGTGTTTTCATAAAGACCAGAAGTGTCTCAAACTGCCAATTTTACAAGCATGCGATGTCACCCCGCAAGTTGGACGAGACGCGATGCGGAAGGCGAACTTGTGAGGGGTATGGTGCGCAGTGTAACGACGATATTTGGCAAAACCAAGGGATCGGCAGGGCTATGAAAGGGCATTTGTACGAGCCCTGGCCTTCCAGCAACAACAGCCGGTATGGAATGCAACAATACCCCACTTGTTTCGTCTGGAGACGCCGATTTCCTAGATGAATATAAGCAGAGACTGTCGCGAGTGAGACCACCTCTACTACTGCTAGTTGGTCAGCGTTCTTGTGGCCTCTAGAAATATACCACTGGGACTGCAAGGGCTATTTTGTATCCGCCGTTACGCTCTGGTTCTGAATATTTCACAGTCTCGCGATGCCTTTGCTCACTGTTTTACTTGCCATTTCCCACGCCGTCCTGGGCTCGCTCGCCAGTACAACACCGGACGATGCACACTTTGATGTTTTGGACTATGTCGACCCTCTCATTGGTACTGCCAACGGAGGTACGATCCGTGCGACTTGATTCCACACTCGTTCCCGGCTGAACAACTTCCAGGCCACGTCTTTCCCGGCGCCAGCTTGCCATATGGAATGGCAAAGGCAGTTGCGGACGTGAACAAAGAACTCCAGGGTGGATTCACGTCCAACGACGGCGAAAGTAAGGAATCGAAGCTTGCTTCCGTGGCGCAGCACCGTTTCCTACCCTACTAATAAATGCCACTCCTAGTTACCGGCTTCTCACATATGCATGACAGCGGAACAGGCGGAGTAGGTTGCATTGCGTCGCCGGTGGGAATGCATCCATTCGCTAATTGCGTGTAGGGTGCCTCTCTGGGTAATTTCCCATTGTTTCCTCAAACCGGGTGTGACGGGGATGCCCTGAACAACTGCTACTTCCCAAAGGCAACACGAGCTTCACAGAGGATCAATGGAACCGTCCAGGCGAGACCGGGTTATTTTGCCGTCACAATGAACACATCGGTACATGCGGAAATGACAGTCACCAGCCACACTGCGTTGTACCGATTCACCTTTCCGACTGATGGCACTCCCACCAAGCGTAGCGGAAATGCAACGCTGAAAATGCCATACAGTCCCCTGATCCTAGCTGACTTGACAGACTTGGCAGACTCGAGAAGCCATGGAAGTATTTCGGTAGATGCTCAGTCGGGAAGAATTACGGGGCTTGGAACGTTTAATCCTTCATTCGGCATCGGCACTTACAACTCGTACTTTTGTGCCGATTTTAACGGCGCCGAGATCCGTGATACGGGAGTCTTCATGAACAACCGTGCTGGAACTGAGCCGAAATCGCTTCAACTCCCGACAGACGGTAATACAGTGCCAGGGGGCGCTTGGGTTCAGTTCCATCCGCCACAGTCGAATCAGATTCAGGCCAGAGTTGGTTTGTCCTTTATCAGCACAGAACGAGCATGCAACAATGCCGAGGCCGAGATACCCGATTTCAACTTCAAAAATGTGACGAGGGCGGCGGAAAAGGCATGGCGGACCAAATTGAATGTCGTCAAGGTAAATAACACTGGGGTTTCAAAATCCTTACAAAGGACATTTTGGAGCGGCGTCTATCGCACGATGCTGTCTCCCCAGGACTATACTGGTACGTCCCTCGCACCGGTGCCAGAGTCTACCGCCATTTAACCGCATGTTTTAGGAGAAAACCCGCTGTGGAAGAGCGATGAGCCTTACTTTGACTCTTATTATTGTATCTGGGACAGCTTTAGGAGCACGCATCCGTTGCTCACTTTGATCGATCCGCATGCTCAAGCACTAATGGTTCGCGCGATGATTGATGTGTATCGCCATGAAGGCAAGCTTCCCGACTGCCGCATGTCGCTTTGTAAAGGGTTTACCCAGGGCGGAAGCAACGCCGACAATGTCCTAGCCGATTCCTATCTCAAAGGACTCAGGGACGGGATAGATTGGGAAACTGGCTATGAGGCTGTGGTATCAGATGCAGAAGGTGAGTGCGTCGGAAACGATTTGCTATTCCTGGCGTAGTTGTTAACGGGGGTTCAGATGAGCCTGCCATTTGGACAGTTGAAGGAAGGGGTGGACTGCATAGTTGGAAGACGCTTGGCTATATTCCCACCGACGACTTCGATCCGTATGGTGTAGGAATTTTTACTCGGTCTATTTCCCGAACCGTTGAATATTCATACAACGATTTCTGTATAGCGGAAATGGCCAGAGACTTGAACAAGGCTGCCGATGCTGAGAAATATTTGAAGCGTTCGACCAATTGGAAGAACTTGTTTGACCCTACTTCTCGCTCGAAACTCAATACTACAGGAAGCCACGATCCGGCTGGCCTCGTGGACAGTGGGTTCCACGGATTCTTGCAACCAAGATATCTAAATGGCAGCTTTGGCTATCAGGACCCGGCCATTTGCACGGCTCTATTCAACTTTACCTCTTGTTATCTGAACCCGGATGGACACGAGACCTACGAGGGCGGGTCGTGGCTTTACACATTCCAAGTTCCTCACGACCAGGCGACCCTCATCACAATGCTTGGTGGCGCCGGTGAGTTTGTCCGTCGTTTGGAGTTCTTGCACAACACACCTGGCCTGTTTTACATTGGAGACGAACAATCATATCTTCTCCTATATCTGTTTCATTTTGTCGGCAAGCCAGGCCTGTCCTCGCATTACGCACACAGGTATATACCCAGTGCGTTCAATGATACCTTGGCGGGCATTCCCGGGAATGACGATTCGGGCGCCATGGGGAGCTTCACGGCATCGTCCATGATGGGTCTCTACCCGATGAGCGGCCAAGACGTGTACCTCATTATCCCACCATTCTTCCCAGAAGTCACCATTCGTCACCCCGGGACTGGCAAGTCAGCAACCATCAGGAACGTAAACTTTGATCAGGGGTACAAGAACATATATATACAGAGCGCAAGGCTCAATGATAGGCCATATACGAAGTCGTGGATCACTCATGACTTTTTCAGCAATGGCGGCGTGCTGGAGCTGACCCTGGGGCCATCACAGGGTGCTTGGGGATCGGGGGAAAATGACATTCCTCCAAGTGCATCTACTCATTTCTGGAAGTAGAGGATGGAGCTATGTAGCCGCACAAGCGGCACTTATATAATCGAAGTCTGAGTCAATGTACACACGTGTTTCATGGACGTGAGCACGTTACATGCATGACCTGGCGGCTGTTTTGAATGTTTCGTCATGTTTCCAGGCATGCTCACATTGTCGTTACACGGGATGTTTCAAAGGGATATTCAATGCCTGTCGTCGGTGACAACCTGGTCGTACCGGCCTTCCCCTAGACGCAAAAACGCCACCGGTGATGCCGCCATCCTCAAACAGATGATTGACGTCTTCCAATTCGAGACCGCTGGTTTCAGGGAAAAAGAAGTACACCATGGGTATCTAGTGGCAGTGGTCAACTCGACTTATTTTCTTTTTTTTTTTAAGCGTTCGGGGGGTTTCAAATTTGACAATACTCACCCAAGATGCACACAAGCACGCAAAGATGATGAATGTCCGCCACTCAATATCATGAATAGCAATTGGTGTGATCTGCACTACAGTGACTGCTCACGAAAATCCGTCAGAATGCCAGTTCACACAGTGAGAAGGGCTACAGGAACTACTTACAAACACACATCCAATTGACAAATCCGGCAAAGGCCTGGCCGCGCGCACGGATTCGGGTCGTGGTCACCTCACTCGGATAGAACCTGGCCACGATTAGCTACCAAGGATCAGCGGAAGAGAGCAGGCAGGTTGGCACACCAAGGGACGGGCAAGTAGCCGATGCTCAAGAAGAGTTGAAAGATGAAGACAAAGGAAGTGGCTGCATATGCACAGCTTTGCGTCCCGATTGACAGCAGGATGGAAACCATGACAAAACAGAACGAGAGCCCAGCTGCCGAGACCATCAGCGAGATGCGTCTCCCGATGCGGTCCATGCTCCAAAGGGGAATAAACGAGCCGATCAGATACACAATTGCCGTACATCCGCCCAGAATCAGAGATGTATTCCTGGATAAGTGCATGACGTTTTGATAGACAACGGGTGCGTAATAATTGATCATGTTTGCTCCCGTGAATTGCTGCTGCAAGTTGACCAGGCCGCAAAGAATCATGCGGCGCAGGTTCTGTAGCTTGCCTCCGGTGAAGAGTTCCCTGTAGTGGAATGGTCCTCCGGCTGACTCTATTGCAATTGCTGTTTCGATTTCCAAGAGGCATTGACGCAGTCTTTGAGCGGCTCCTGGGGCTCCCGCATCAGGTTGAAGGCGCGTCAGAACCTTGACAGCGTCTTCGCGGCGGTCCTGCTCGCAGAGCCACCGGGGCGTCTCTGGCAAAGGAATCATTTGCAGCACGAGGCAAATGGCAAACAAGGATTGGAAGCTGATGGGCAGCCTCCATTGGATCGGGCTCTGCACAAAGCTAAGGCCATAGTCCATCCAGTATGCTATGCACAGCCCGACAATGGTGACGGTCCCCTGGGCAGAGAGCAATCGACCCCGATGCTTGGACAGGGCCATTTCGCTTTGGTACGCCGGCACAGTGCTACTATTGATGCCGTTTCCGACACCGGTCACGATTCGTCCGACTATGAACTGCGCGACGCTGTATGAAGAACCGAGTATAATGGTACCTACGATCATGATGGTCCCGCCAGCCATGATCATTCTCCTGCGGCCGACGCGATGACCACAGAAGAAGGCAAAAAGACAGCCGACGGCACATCCTATGTCGTAGATGGATGTCACTAGGGTTGGTCAGTTGATTGCCGGGTTGCGACGAAGCTGCGCCAAGCAGCACGTACGAGTTCCTTGTAGGCCTGCATCGGGGTGGTTGAATTGTTCACCAAACTCGTTGTCTGCACCGATGAGACCACTCATTACTCCCTGGTCGTACCCTAGGAGTAAGAATGCCTGGCAACTGGCAGCTAGACGCGAATATCAGCCGTGAACGCCGCTTGTTCCGAGACGTCTGGTGTGGCCGATGACATACCCGTCACGGCCCAATGCAGGGCCCTGCCGCGGATCGGATGCATCGGGGTTGCGCTTCAGGCGTATGTTGCTGCTGCGCCAGCTCGATTCGGGCTGACGGGGGACATGGCCGTATCTGAGCCGCACCTTGCTCTGTTCGTGAACACCGTCACGGACGCATATTGTAATGATGCGAAAATGAGCCTCGAAGCTTTGCTCGCTCCGGGTGATCGTGGCGCTTCCGAGATTTAAGCGGGGTCAAAATGGCGTGGCCAGACATGACGCTTCCTCCCAGTGCCCCCCCTCCCCCACCAAAAGTCTGGTGAGATTCTGGCCAAACAGAGCACCTTGATTTGTAGAGCAAAAGGACCATGCCATGACATACGATGAGCTCCCATTTCTTCTACCCTAGTACAGTCGCCCAATTGACTCCTGCAGGTGAATAGATCCATTTCCCAATCCAACTCGGCTAACCATGCAGGCAGACCACTGCCGCCATCTCAAAGAGCGATCTGACCAGCTAAACACTCTTGATGCACCCCGATCTTCGCCACGGTGCCAGCAGCCTACGTCCATAGCGCCGCGAGCCCAGACTGTGCTGTGCTTGTCATGTCTTCCAACCCTCCAACAGCATTGATGACATGCTGCAAATGCAGCTCAAATAGCAATGCAATGTCCACATGGATTTCTTGCTTTGTTATTTCAGAGTGCCAAGACTTTGACTTGTCCCTGTAAGACCACAGCGACATGTCCGGCACACTTGGACAACCTTGAGTCCCAAATATGCGGTAAAAGTCTTGGCCGGCTTGGGGAATGAGCGGGTTTTCTCCAGAGCCAGGCTCGAAGTTATACGGCGACGGGGCGTAATCCGAAAGCAAAAACGTTCCCACCACTCCCGACTTGAACTTGGACGTCATGGCTGCTCCCTCGTCCGCGGCATAGCCTCGTTGAGGAAGGATTCGTTCTGCGTGAACTCGAACTATACGTCCTAGTAGAAAAGGGAGGATATCGATTTCGTGAATCATGTTGATAAGGATTGCGCCGCCGGCTTCAGTCTGTCTCCATTCCGCCGGCGCCTGGAAGTAGTGCGGCGGGGTGTGCAAGGCCCAGATCCCGTTTACCGCCAGTATGCCACCAAGCTTTCCTGTAGATATGACTTGTTTACTTTTCATCATATAAGGGTTGAACCGATGATGATGCCCGACCAGGACTTTGCTCTTGGCCAAGGAAAGACAATTCACAAGGTCCTGCCCGCTGCGCACATCCGCGCTGACCGGCTTCTCGATCATCATGTGAATGTTGCGAGAAGCAAACTTCTTTGCAAAATCCACGTGTGTGTGGCTTGGAGTGCATATGATTGCTGCATCAACTTCTTCAGCTGAGTTGAGGAGGTTGTCGACACCTGTGTAGTAGCTTACGCTCAACTCGCTTGCCAAGGCTCTCCCCGCGGCGACGGGTCAACAACAGCGACAAGTTGAAGCCCTATTGTCCTTTACGACCGTGCTTGCATGTCGAGGCCCGATGGTTCCTGCGCCAATAACAGCGATGCGGAGCTGCGGAGATGCCAATGTCATGTTGAACGGTAGGATGAACCTGATGAGTCGGGAGCAGTGTAATGGTAAACCAACGGCGAATGCTGCACCAAATAGTCCGACGTTGGATGTCAAGCTTCACAGAATAACATACGCATCAAGGTCCGAAGCTACTATCCGACAGTCGGGTTCTTTAGTTGCCGAGATCCTCTTCCTTGGTGAGGGATTCCTGGATTGTAATGCTGTGTGGGCGGATGAGGCTTTACCCGTACGTACGTATTCAAATAGGGTAGGTTGCCTGCGTTGGAGGGTTGTTTTAATAAACTAGAAAAACAAGTTGAAAAATAAATTTCAAATAGCATAATTCGTAATGTTCATAATGGATAATGTCTGGTATTATAACATTTGGGAAGGTTTGCCTATGCACCCGATAGACTGGCCAACCCTAGAGTCAAGAGATTGGAGAGCCCAAGCAACTACTTTTGCGTGGCTGCAGTCGACTTGACCTTGGTAGGAGTCAGATCTACCAGCCCGCTGCGGCACACACAGTGCCTTGGATATATTTAGATAGAGCAAGCTCTTGCTATGTATAATTCTTGTCACAGACTGGCACAACCGGCCATCGTGACTATCAGCACAGTCGCACAGGCTACGCCTGACCTTTCTGCCAACCACGACAAAAGGATACGAATTGATCAAGCCACTCGATACTCGCTCCATTGGTACTGTAAAGCCAATGTGTTGAGAACAGGCACGTTTAGGTTTGGCCCAGACCTTCACAATTCTCTAACATCGGGTTATGCTTGTAGCTAATACCCTTGGTTCTTGAGTAAATATTTGAAATAACTCATCATTATAACTGTACCAAATATACCAAATATGTACAATCTATTGTAGCTAAAGCTATATGTTGGATAAAGCTATTGACTTGGCTAAGTTTGAACATCAGAAACCGCCGTCCTAGACAGAGAATTCCTTTTCTCATGAAGAAGGGGGGTTTTGCCTGAACTCTGAAAGACAACCACCAACGTACAAGAGTCAAGGCCGCGTAATCCAACACATGGATCCATCATACAAACTCTATTTCTTGGGGAGAATCCCGGTGCGGCTCAGCGTGCGGTAAAGGAGGCTATTTCGAACGATTCATGACGTGCATACACTAGGATCAACTGGGATAAGTTAACAGTCTACTTGAACCTTCCAGAAAATGGATAATTGCGGCTGATTTCGGGATCATGGCGGATTATGTCGGCAAAGGTACCGACACAACGGCTTACTTTTAGCTTGACCAGGGCTTGTCATAGAGCCCATGTCTCCAAGGCGATTCCTTACGTGTTGAGAGAAGTTGACAATACGAAGAACTACATGGTGAAGCGTCACTCAGTAGACAAAGAAAGGGGGCTAGCGAAGGGCCATGAAGTTACATCGCAAGGAATGTTTCATACGATCAATGCGATGACCGTTGTCATCGATAGTCTATGTCATGCAATGCTGGATCATGTAGTCATTCCAATTGATATTCTTGGCTTGAAGTCCCATGTCCCGGTGTTATCAGGAAAACTCGCGCAATTCTGGTAACGATGCCAGAACCTAGCATGAGTTGAGATAAGAGAGCGTCATGTTCGTTGTGGATTTCGGCACATGGCCCTTGAAACGGCATGAATTGGTCCAGGTCTCAATTTTTAGCTTGATTTAATGCAAAATTCGAATAGTCGATATGTTTGGTATCCGCCCCATCATATGATGACTTCTCTGTAAAGGATTGAGTGAATTGCCGACCCGTAACTTGGGAGAAAATGGGCGAAAGGCGGCGTTTGCATAAAGTTCAAATCCCGTCATTCTCAAAGCCCGAATAATGCTGTTTATTGGCCGAAATGTGTGGTAGAGTGACTATGGTTTACAAATTTCGGGTAACTCGGCGATAGCTCACTGAGCCCCGGGGACTGGGGTACGCATGACACCCGAGGCGCGGTCGTCCCATAGTCCACAGTTTAGCCTTACAAATAAACGCGTGCTGCTAGGGAGTTGTTCAAGTCTCGTACTATTCCGGTACAGGTGTATTAGTAACCAAATAGGCAGGAGGAGTAAGTGGGACGAGTATCGGGAGGCGGAGCCGGGGCAAGAGAACTACTATATCGAGCAAAGGCCAAGTTGCCCGCATTAATTTAGCTAATGTTTCGGTACGTATTAGACCCTCCGGGGCTGTACAGCAGGTAATGCGCGTACATGGGCCTTGGCACCCGGTCCTTTTCCATCAAGGTCCTCCGCGGCCAGGATCCGTGGCTCCGACAAATCGTGGGTTGCCATAACTGCCGAAGGAGCTGTTTTCACTCAGTCTTAGCAACATCGTCTCGGCAATATACCAACAGCGACTGATGACATTCCCTGCGTATATAAAGCCTTTGTCAATGCCCCCGATAGACCCAGAACTGCATCTCCAATCTCAACAAAGCAGTCGTACAACACCAACATCTTGCCAACTACTTCCCCCATCATCACCTAGAATCTCTTTTACCGCTTTTTCCAAAATGAAGACATTCGCAGCTCTCAGTTTAGCGTTGGTGTCGACCGCAAGCGCCCAACCGCACACTGCTCGTCAAGTCACTGCCGATGATTATGCCGTACAAACTCTCAACAACATTGAGACTGGTTTCAAAGTGAATGATGCCAACTTGCCCAAGCTCAATGTTACCAAGGAGTGGCAGGGTATCTGCATTCAGAACTTGAATTATGCAGAGCAAGTTGCCTTCTTCAAGACCGGGACAATCACCCGCCAAAATATCCTGGGCGCAAAGGCCTACTACATCGCCCATGTGGAAACCTCTTCAGTCAATCCGGGTCCGGGAACAGAGAAGAGCAAAATGACTATTAGTAGCTCCACCACCACATCGCAGGTGGACACCAAGGGCTGGACAGTCGGCGTCAAGCTTACTGGCACCGTTGGCAAGGAAGGCGTGGCAAGCGGCTTGGTTGAGCTCTCTGGAACCTATTCCGACACTACGACCAAGACGGACTCGACGACAAAGACTGTTACCCGCGAGGAGTGGTGTGAAGTCGGCTACGAGTGCCGAATTGAAACGTGGACGTTCCACATGGACATCCATGCCAAGCCTAGGGTTAATGGAAATTATCAGCTATGGAGCGTTGCCAATCAATACGGCGAGGAAATCCCGACCTGCTCCATGCCCAAGAATTTGCGAAGCTGCGAGCAGTTCACGCAGAGATTCAACGAGTGGTGCACCGAGGAGAAGCTCGAGGGCGGTGCGGTGCATATTCCTGCCAAGTTTGATGAAGTTCACATCAAGGTGCCCGTCTACGAAGCAAACGGCTACCAGACCTTCACCCGCATCGTCAAGGTGTTTCACCCAATCACCAAGAGCGCAAGGGCCGAGGCAGCGGAGCCCGTGATTGGAACCAAGGAGACGGTTTTGGAGGCTATGAAGCAGGGAACCAAGTTCCAGTTTCTTGACTAAGAGGCTGCTGTAAATGCGGCCGACTCTCCACACAATTACTGCTGCGGGCTGCGGCTGCGGCTTCAGCCCAGACTACCTTTGTGTGATTAGATTGTGTTACTTTCACCCCATGTTACTTGCTGCTTGGAGACGAGGACCATGCATAATGAAGGAGCTCACACGGGCTTGCTTTGCGTCTTCTACTTGGCTCTTGATGGACAAACCCTCCGGTAGCATTGAAAATAGACATTCTATTTGTGCATCAAAAATTGTCTCATTTATTCGTGTTTATAAAGGTAGACCTAACGCGGCGAGAATGTCTGCATGACAAAGCGGGTTCCGTCTCCTTTTGTCTCTACGTTGGGCTCTTCTTTTCACCCTTCAAATGGAGGGCAAGAACCATTAAAGATTGCAACAAACACCCTGTTACTGACTTGGGGGCCTGAGCAGTGTATCATCGATTCTATTCCTCCAATAGAATACATGGCTCGGGAGTCCAAATTGGTGTCTATGTGTCCAGTCTAGCAAACAGGGTCCAGTATAACTATCAGCTGCTCTATTCTAAACTGCAATCATGACCTTGTGTTCTTGATCCACTCTAGCCACTCTCCCTCGTGTAGAATGGACCGCACCCTGGCCTGCAGCCACTTCGTATTTCCCCAGAAACCCCACGATGCCTGGAATCTGCACCAGTCAACCAACGCCGTCTCCCAGTGCCTCTGGAACTCGATCCAGTCATATAACGGTGCATTCATAACGCCTCTCCCTTTGAGCAATTCTTGCCGATATTGGTGCAGGAGATGACGTTCCCCATCGCCCATCGTCAAGCGACGAGGCCCGCTCGTCGAAGCAGTAAGCATTTCCACAGGCACCGAGCAGGTGAATAGCTTTGCCAGGTCGCAAACCCCGAGCCCCAGGCCGGTATATTGGAAATCAAAGAAAGCGACCTCGTCTCCACTGTCTGTAGAGAACAAATTCTCCGACTTGACATCTCCATGGAGATATGTTTCAAAGTCGCGGCCAGTAGGTGTCAGAAAGAATGCGGCAAGCTCAGCAACTGACATGGACGTTCCCTCGACTAACTGACAAAACGTCTGGGACCATTCCGAGTCACCGTCTTGGGCCAGGGCATTGTATTCATTCCGACGGGTAGCGAGATATGTATATCCCCCGTTGAGCCACAAACCTCTTCTGGCCAAGTTCTCTGATTGCAGCCTTTTTTCATCTTCTTGGAGCGGTGGGAGAATCAGACTCTCCATAGCAGGTCTTGTCGACTTCCAGTAACTGCCGTGGAAGCGCGACAGCCAGCGAAGGGCAGAATGGACCTGTCTTGGGGTCAGGACTGTCCGCTTTCCCCCGGCAACGGGATATTCCAGTCGCAAATCTGTCAATACGGAAGCAGTCACATGCTGCAGGCCTGCAGCAGCGGCTCTCTGTGGAAACTTTGATGTTGACACCAGACACTCTGCCAACGGCAAACCATCAAGTGTGGGAGCAACTTGGTCGTAGAAATGCTGTTCTACTTGGTAACTGAATACTTTTCGCAGATGGCCCTCGTCCTTGCGGCCGTGGGGCGGCGACACGATTTTCAAGACGAGAGACTGCTTGGCATGTGTGGTCTGGGCCGGTTCCTCAGACGGCAGCGGGCGGACGTGGATGGCGCAAATGTGTCCGTATCCCGCCCAAAGGGTCTGGAGTATGCTGCAGGAGATGACGTCGAAGCCAATCCACGACAGCAGCTCCTTGGCCACAGCCCGGGGTTCGGGTTGTTGACTCATCTCTGCTGGCGTTTGCAGGTTGCACATGGAAGTCCACCGTGTGAAAAGACGGCAAGACGGGCAGCAGTAGGCGGACGGACGTGGAGATGGCGAAGTGGGTCGAGCAATTAAAAGTTGCATCTTGGTAGACAAAGCGATTGGAGGTGCTCGGCTCGGCAGATATCCATGTTGACGCGGATGTCTCCGTGGACGAGCTTGACATCTCCTCTTGGCCCGCGTGGCTGAGCAGGCTGGGGAACTCTACTCTAGAGTCTACATGCCAACATTGAACCCGGCCCGGGCCTATGCCCGAATACGACCGAAACCTGGGCCAATTCGGATGGGGCGAGCACGTAATCGTCTGATAAACGCCTTGTTGCCGTTTTCCGGCCCCTTAAATTTGTCCAGATACTGCTGATAACTGGCGGCCCTACACCTCAGTCCTGCGGCATTAATTTCCCGCCCGCCAACGCAAGAACACACTTTCACGCATAGACTATTGGCTTTTGTGCGTGGCTGACGCAGGCTAATTGCCGTATTCTAGGTATTGCTAGTTGTTACAGAGCTGAATCAGAGTCAAGAAGCAGCCCACGTGCAGGCCGCTGGAAAGACTTGAGTCATGCGGCACCGATACTCGACGTGTTTCAAGACTTCATTGGCCATTCCCAATGCCCAAGGTCCTTCCAAAAGCAATCAACTGTGGGAGTATACTGACATAGGCTACAACTTTGATGCCTGCTGATTGCTGTGATTGTGTTACATGTCTTGGGACTACGACAGGAAATTGGAGTCGCATGAAAACTAACACAAGGTCGAGGTGTGAATATTTGGTATCAAAACGAGTCAAGTTCCTCAAATGCAATTAAACCTCGTGTCCCGTGATTGTCTCGAATGTTTATCCTCTCATCTAGTCGAATAGTCCTCAGAAAACGGTGATTGTCCAATTACCGTTGTGACATTGGCCAAGTTTGAACCTTGCGCCATATTCAAAGCAAACCAGGCAGTCAATTTATTTTCTATTGCTGAAATTACGGGTTCACAGTTAATAAAACTAGTATGTTCCCCGCCGCCAGTCGCAAGTTTCACTACTATACTCTATGGCTGCCCGTATACCAGCACAGGTACCTAGTCTCGACTTTGACTTCGTTCAAAGACTTGTGTCGCCACAAGTGCTCCGATATGTTGCCACCTGACTAACAACCTATGGTTCAAACATGTAAAGCGGCCAGTTTGCATCATGCCGGCTAACCTTGGCCAGAATTTTCCATTCTCCATTTCTCTTCTCAAAAACATCGTCGTATATTCCTGTGCTCACAACGCCCGTAGTATTGGCTCTCCAGTCAACTCTCCAGTTCCAGTGCACGTAAGCCCTCTCATTTCCCCCAGCACTTCTATTTACTAGCGGCTAGGGATAGTTTGGCAACGGGCTATCGGATATCTCGAAAGCGCCCACCAAGTGGCGCCACCGCGAAAGCGGGAAGACGGAGTGCGCGTAGTCATAATTCGCCCAGATCTCTCGTTCGCCCATCATGGTAACATCACGGTTGGGACCTTGGTATTAGTTAGCTTTCCGCCGAGGATCAGCAAATCTAAGGAGCTACGCCTGTACCAATGAGGCGGGATCTCCCTTCGGGCCAGTAGAGCGAAGCATAGAGCTTTGCATTATCGCAAGTGAGACTGCGGTCAATGCAGGACTGGTGCAATGAGAGTTGTTGAGAAGCGATCCGTTGGGGTAAGCAAGCTAACCGTGCAGACCGGATACCACACAAGTAGCAAGCAAAAGAAATGATGTAGACGCAACATGGTGCTCGTAGTGTTTTTTCCTCCTTTTTTTTTTCCAGTAAAGTCTAGTGAATTAGTTAAAATAATATATTTTTACCGACCGAGAATATTATGCTAGGTGGTTTATTTTATAGCACTTGACATATTTCAAATGGTTATATAGCGCGTGTTCAATCTTTGAAGCTACATCCCGCAAGGGCTACCCGTCCCGGATTAGTCAATGCTCTACAATTCTTTTACAGGATGATGAGCAATGTCTTGGCATGGCTCATCTATGTCTTGATTCGACTATTGATGAATAGAACTAAGTTTGTTTAGTTTTGTGCGTGCTTCGTTTAGACAGCACACTTGTGAAAGCTATCGGTGGGTACCACAAATCTCTCATACCTGACAAATCGACGTTGCATCGGTTCTCTCTACTAGAAACCCATTATTTCTTCTAGAATTTCAAATTCAATGTTCGATTCCCAAGAAGACCGTCTTGACAGGCTGATATAGCACTTATCAGGCCTACGTTGTCTTCTCCTCCGATAATTGCGTACCCGTATCCTCTTGGCTATGAGGCGATTTGTAAAGAAACCATCTACAAGAGATGCTCCTCAGCTATTATAATAGACCTATTATACCATATAAATTTCACTCTATAATAAGCTTAAAACACATCATGACTCTACGAATTGCCTTAACACCAGCCTTAGCGGCTTCCAATACCATTTTTGCCACGTCGGAAAATGACGACACGTAATCTTTTGATAGCTGGTCGCATGGTCAGGTTCATCTGGACGACGTTGGCATACATTTTCGATACGCAGGTTATGGTCCGCCGATGCTGTTTGTCCATGGCAACCCTCAACATAGCGTACGTGTACAAGGGAACCTTTACGGAGCAGGTGTTAACGATTCAAGATAGTATACGTGGCACACGATTGGTCTCAGCCTGGCAAACCAGTATACAGTCATTGCTCTCGACAACCGCGGTACGGGCGATAGCCCCATCCCCGAAAACAACGACTACAGCCCCGAGGCAATGGCTCGTGACCTAAAAGGACTTCTTGACTTTCTGAAAATCAATCGCACTTTTGTCTTCTCCCATGATAAGGGTTCCTGTCAAGCCGTTGCTCTTGCCGCCCAGTATCCAAGTCTGATACCTGCTCTGGGCGTTTCCGGGCATTTGTTACCTGGATTCGGTTACGAGGAAAGAAGTTGTCCGTCATCAACTTGGGATCTATACTCCAATTGGCAACTTGCTTTCTTTGGTGTACCGGATGCGGCCGAGCTTTTTATCCGAGGAAAGGAGAAGGAAATGTTAGCCTGGTACTTTTATCATCAAAGCCACTCAGGTAACGAAGCCATACCGAAGCCGGTACTACAACGTTACGCTAATTAGCAAGCCAGGCTTTCTGCGAAGCATGCTTGCTCCTTTTCTACTGCGGCTGTGAGAGCAGACAACCAATTCTTTACCAAGGTTCTAGGGGACGCACCTTGGCAAATGCCAATGATTGCGATTGGGGCAGAGGCTAGTTTTGCTCTCGAGAGCACAATACGGGAGGTATGGGGTCTCGTTGCGCCTGACTTGACAGTAGATATCACCTAAATCTAGACATTGCATCGCCGATGAAAATCCGGAATGGGTTGCTGAACGTTTGCGGGCGTACTTTGGCAACATAGGGGGGAATGATCAAGCAGCGGATCTGTCATGGCACAGCAATAGAACTACACTGGTTTAGAGTAACAAAAGAAGGTAGACTGAAAAAATTCACAAGTTTCAACTCCTGGGGAGATGGATGGAACTCAAAACTATGATTGATGTGTCCGCCCAGTTGGCCGGTAGCTTCCTTAGTCCCGGCATACAACAATTCAAGTTGATATTTCTCACGACATGGGATAAATTCTTTTCCTCTTTGAATTTTCTTCTTCTTTATCTTTAATTTTTTTATTTTTCATTTTTTTTCTGTTTTTGCTTCATCACTTCTTGCACTTAGACTCGAGACAGGCCAACACACGTTTCCACTTATAGAGGGCTTGGGCTGAGAGCAACTCCAAGGGAATGCCGTGCTGCATGGAATAGTGGTGGAATAATCACTGACTCGTTCGGTATTTATTTTATGTCGATGTACGTAGCAACCTGAAAGTCGAGGGAAACGCAGGAAGCCTCCTCTAGAGATTTACTCGCGAACCTTCTACAACCGAAACTAATGTGCTACCAGTGTGAGAGGCTAATTATAGCTCCGGATTGACCATTCGAAGATACTTGATTTTTGAGTAAACTTGAGCCGAACGACTTCAAGTGGACAGTGCTACAGCAAGTGCAGATAGGGTGCTTGTAATACAGCGAGGGCAAATGTTGCTGTGTATTTTTGCCTAGGCAAGTAGCTTTCGTGGCTTCATTTAAACATTAGATTTCCTAGGAGCAAGAAGAACTCCCGCAGCACAAAGTCCAAGTGTATTGGAATTGTACCAACTCGTATACAATTTACGTGCCGCATTAAACATCTCATCTTCAGGCTTGCGCTTGACTTCAAACTTGTTCAAAATACTCAACATATCTATCTCTTGGTGGCTGGCGAGTGCCACGCATCCTCTTTGTCCTCAAGTTGACGACGTCCGGGGACGACATAATATTGATCATGGGCTTCCACTTTTTCAATAGACCAAATCCACTCGTGGCGTTTGGATTCGGTGTTGGCTTCGTACAGCATCTGATGCACTTGCCCATGGACTACGTCCCCAGAAACAGCCGGGTTTAGGTCAGGAACCCAGATGACACTGTAGTAGTGTGTATTAGGGTAACCGCGCCCAATTGTGTGGAAAGTCCACTGATTCTACATCTTGAAGGAAGGGTTGGAACTCTCAAGAAGTTGTTCCAAGGTAATTGGTTTGACTGGGAAAGCAATATTGCAATCGTGTTATTGGCCAAGTATCAAAGTTTAGTACGGCATAGCTTCATTTCTTTGCACCGGCTTCGCCAGCACTTCTGGATTTGACATGCGAGGGACCATTTCATTGGTCTTCAATTCTCTGAAAGATGCTCGTAGATATTGCACTCCCATTTCAGTTTTTTGGCTCTAAAGCTGGTCAAATAGATGAGTGAATGCTGTCAATAAATGCCAATCCCTCTTCTTCAGTTTGGAAGGTCCGGGGGGCCCGGTAGAGGGACGTGAAGATACGATATTAGGTGCGGGTGCTCACCCGAACCCCCCCCCCCCCCCCCCCC